AAACCGTGGTCTCCCGCATCCTCATCAAGCCCTCGGAGTCCGCGGACGGAAACAGCCACGCAGCGGGGACAGAGGCGCTCAGGTGGAAAAGCCAGAGTGGCCCCGGCGAGGACGGCGCCTCGGACGCCAGGCATGTCACGGTGCGCAACGCCTGGAAGAGCAGGCGGGACTTGCAGCCCCTGGACGAGCCCCTGGCCCGAATAGGCAAAGCCACGGAAGCCGCCAATGCCTACAGCCAGAGGTCGTCCACCGACTTCTCGGAGCTGCAGCCGCCCAGGGCCGGCCTTTCGGAGCGCGCCCGGGACTCGGCGGAGCTGGCCTCCAGAAGGACCCAGAGCAGCCTCACGGCGGCCGAGGTGCTCTCGCGGCAGACCCGGGCAGCAGAGGCGGCCTGGAACCACTCGGCGGGCACCGTGAGTCCTTTTCTTCCTCCTGTGCTTTCTTTCTCCCCCTGCCCTGCTGTGTGAGCCCCAGGGGTTCGGGGCCTGGCAAGCACTGGTCTGAACTGGGTAGCTGAGAGCTACAGCAAACAGGGGGGAGATGGGCCCAGCTCTCAGGAAGGAGTTCAGCAGAAAGCAGGACTTTCCAAATCTGACTTGCTCAGTTCTTTAAGATTTGTTTTTATGGGAAAGGCAGATTTACAGAGAAGGTGAGATCTTCCCTCTGCTGGTTTACTCCTCAAGTGGCCACAACAGCTGGTACTGAGCCAGGAGCCAGGAGCTTCTTCCGGGTCTCGTGTGGTGCGGGGTTCCAGTGCCTTGGGTCATCTTGCCTTCCCAGGCCATAAACAGGGAGCTGGAGAAGTGGCGCAGCCAGGACACGAACCGAAGCCCATATGGGACCCTGGCACTTGAAGGGAGAGGATTGGCTAATTCATCCATTGTGCCCGGGCCTTTCTTGGGCTCTAAAATGTCTTGCCCATTTAGTCGCATCTGGGAAGGCCACACCAGGAGACGTGCCCTTTGTTCTGTGTGTCAGACCAGAACAAGAGCTGCCCTGTGGCCTCCCTACACAAGCCCTGATGCCGCCGCCACTGCTGCCCCGAGCCCTGGGCAGGAGGCCCAGCAGGGACGAGGGCAGCGAAATCAGGTTTGGGGCTCTCCTGGGAGCGCATCCCTGCAGCCTGCTCACAGAGAGGGCTTCCTTCCCAAAGCCAATGGAAAGTGTGAATTATGAAAAGAAAATGTGTGATTGCAAATATTTTGCACCTGGACTTTTTAATTCCACTTTCCATACGCGTTTTAAAGTACCCTTCGATAGGAATGTGGTGGGCTACAGCTTAGTTCTGGGCCCGCTGCCTGAGTTTCATGCTCAGGTGTTACTGGGTGTGGCTGTGACATGCCAGCTGGGGCAGCTGTGTCACCACTGTATGCTCGGCCGAGGGCAGGCTGGTCGTCCATGGCATGTGACGCGCACTGGGCACAGGGTGTCGGAGCTGCGGATCTTGGATGGGCCACTTGTGGTGCTGGAAGGCAGCTTGCACGGCTTGTCAGGAGCAGCCAGGTGACCCTGTTTCTGGACAGGGCACTTACAGCAGAACGTCCTCGCCACGCGTCTGCCCAGTCCTCAGAGCAGCCCTGGAGGCAAGTCCTCACTGTTCACGGACGCTGAAGGCGAGGGACACAGGGTGCCTCCATGTTACCCCGTCACCGGATGTGAATCTAGATTCCCCCTGTTAACACTTGGTGCTTTTTTTTCTTGCACTTTGATCTATATTTGCACGTGAAGACCCAGAACAATTAAGTCGGAATTCTAGTGTAGCAGGAAGAAACACATGGGCATTTAGTTCCGTAAACTGGAGAACACGGGATGAGGGACAGAGGTGGGAGCTGCGGGGAAGGCCTGTGCCCACGCCCTGCCCTCTGCTGGCCCCGCCCTTTGCTGTCCTTCTCGCCAGTGACCGTCCCCGGCTATCCTGGCTGTTCCCAGCAGCGCAGGGCACCACTGATTTCCAAGAAACTTATTTATATTGGAAAGTCAGATTTACAGATAAGGAGACAGAGAAAGATCTTCCATCTGCTGGTTCACTCCCCTGTGGCTGCAGTTGCCGGAGCTGAGCCCATCCAGGTGCAGGGTCTCAAGGCTTTGGGCCGTCCTTGACTGCCTTCCCAGGGCACAGGCAGGAAGTTGGATGAGAAATGGGGTAGCCGGGACACAAACTGGCACCCATATGGGATCCCTGTGCATGTAAGGCGAGGACTTTAGCAACTAAGCTACTGTGCTGGGCCCATGGGACTTTTAACTTTTTAAAGCTTTTTTTGGTTTGTAAAAACCAAGTCAGATATACAGAGAGGAGGAGAGTCAGAGAGGAAGATCTTCCGATGATTCACTCCCCAAGTGACCATAACAGCCAGTGCTTGCACCTATCCGAAGCCAGGAGCCAGGAGCCTCTTCCGGGTCTCCCATGCGGGCACTTTGGGCCGCCCTCCACTGCTTTCCCAGGCCACGAGCAGGGAGCTGGATGGGAAGTGCAAGCAGCGTTTTTGCCGGCCTAAAGCACTGAGTTAGGTTGGAGGGTTCCTGCTGTGGGGAAGTGTGCATGTCTTGCTCGTCACCTGCTATAGCTCACGCCTGTTGTTTGTTGGCAGGCCCAGGAGGAAGGTGAAGACAGCGCGCTCGGTGTCTACAGGCGGCCACCCAGCGCCCTGGAACGGTCGGACCTGCACGTGAAGCCAGAGCTCGGGCGAGTATGGCCAAGCAGGCCCAGTGCTGAGGAACACTGAGCCAGCGGGTCCCGGCAGCGCTCACCTTCTTACCCCGTGGAGGACCCCATGGTTGTCCAGACTAGGCATGAGGTCTTGGTGGAAGACTGGTAGAGAGCTACACTGTGGCTCAGGTGGCTTTGCTAGTTGGCCAAGAGGGGACCAGAGACTACAAGCCAGTCACCCACCTAGGCCCAGCCTTCCTGATGCACGAGTCCCCTCTATCCCTGTCCCCCAGGTAGCATGGACCAGTCTGATCCCCACACAGGGAGCACAGAAACCTCCCAGGACACAACAGCAGCTGAAGCTCCCCTTCTCTGCTCCTCGGTCACGGAGCAGCCCCAGCTATGCGCTTACCGTGGTCGTCACCGGCTGCTGGCCACGAGTTCCTTTCCCAAAGGGTCCGTGCACCTGCTAGGAATCGGCAGCCATCGGCTTCCTCCGGGGCCTGCACTTCCCCTTGGTGTGTAGAAGGCGGCTGTGTGGCCCCGAGGAGAGCTTCTTGAGCTGGCCCAGCTGACCCCTGGAACGGCCTCACCCTCCCGTGTTCCCAGCTCACCTTCCAGAGGCTCCCGGAAGAGCGCGAGCCTGGTGCAGCTCCTTCCCTGGGCAGCAGGGACGCTGGCACTGCCTGCTAGCGCTCCTGCAGGTTCACCGAGCCGGGCCTGACCTGGGACAGCCCAGTCAGCCATGCAGCAGCAGAGCTGAGACCCCCGCCTCGGCCAGCCCCGGGGGACGCATCGCACTTTACCAAGCGGATGCCGTGAGCTTCATGGAGGAAAGGTGCTCCCTGCCGAGGGCCTCAGGTTATAGAGCTCTCAGGAAGCCATGCACACAAAGATGGGTTTGTTTCCTTCTAATCATGTGGGGGACGTTCAAGAACTCTGTATTCCTCAGTGCTCTTTCTATAGTGTTCACTTTAAAAGCCCCCTTTATCAAGTCGGCACTGTTGCCTTCGTAACAACCGGGTAACCAGATTCCCACCCCTCTCATGGCTGTGTGACTTGGGGCACGTCACTCAGCTGCCCTGCCTGTGACACGAGTTGTGTGGGGCAGAAGGTCTCAAAGGGCCCCAAGCCTGGTGTTCTGTGGTGGTCGCCCGACTCCTGGTTAGGAGACACGGTGTGGGTTTGGAGGTGCCCGCGCCTCCTGCCCTCGTGGGTTTTCTGGGCTGTCCTGTCACAGGGAGGAGCTCAGAGCTCCTCGGGCTCCCTTTCCTGAAGGGATGAGACTTCATGGCCACCGAGGCTCTTGGTGGCAGTGACTGTGCCCTGTGCCACACACTTTGAGCACCTTTCAGCCACGTGCTCCCCTCAACACACAGGTCGGTCTGTCCTAGGATCCCTGACGAGGACTCCCAAGTGGCAGCACCGAGGTAGCTGGACCCTCAGGGACAGGAAGGACTGCTTGTCCCGTTTCCTGGAGTTGTCACTGAGGACATGGTCCTGCAGCTGGCCATGGCTCTCCATGTCCCCGCCTCAGATGCTCAACAAAAGACTTCTTTCTTCCTGCTGCTTCCCCTGGTCCACCAGCCCCTCACCTGCAGCTCCCTGCCTCCCTTCCCTGGCTGGCAGCCTGGAGTTCAAGGGAAGCTGACCTGTGCATTCCGCCGACACAGAAGGGGGCCAAGCTGTGCCTCGCCTGGGATTCTCATCTTTGCATATCGGAGCCCTGGCTTCTGGTGCTGCAGCTCCTGGTGCCAAAGTCTGGACCTTTCTACATTGCAGCAGCACCGGCGTTTGCCGGCTAACTCCGAATGCTCTGTGGGAGAGTGACGGTCCTTTTACCAGGGCCGCCGTCTTGAATCTTGAGTGCAATAGGATTTGATTGTAACAGTTCAGGATATTTTTGTTTCCTTACTCTGCACACTTTCTAGAACCGCTGTAAGATAGGTTTTATTTTTAAATCTCCAACAGGTAAAGGCTAGCTCTCAGACCCCAAAGCTGGAAGGCCCGTTTCTAGAAACGGCGTGACCACTTGGACCCAGGCCTCATAATCAGGGGTCCTTGGAGGAGACCCCCAACTAGAAGGGAAGCCTGGTAGGTGAACAGCTGATTAAGCCAAATAACCCAGCACCCTCACCAGCGGCTGCACTGTTAAGACAAGCCTCGTGTGGCCTGGTGCTGGCTCCTAGCTCGTGTGCAGGGGCACCAGCTCGTGGGCAGTGGGAGGGCTCCTGGTGAGGCCTAGGGCTGCCAAGTGCCAGGAGTCTCGCTTTTCCACCTGCTGCTGCCTGTCTGTTGCCCGATAATAAAGCAACCAGAGAAAGCACCTGGGTGGTGGGTAAGGGAGCTGGTGTTGAGTTGCAGTGAGTCAGGACTGAAGGGGTCTGTGGTGGGGCCAAGGCATCTAACCTCAGCTGCAGGCGAGCTTGCACGGGAATCGTCCCCTTACACGGTGCTGGGAGGGGGTGGCCGTCTACAGTGTTCTCGGACTTGTCCCAGAGCAGTTTAGTTTAGTGAGTCAGTGCCAAGGTCACCACTTCCCCAGGAAAGGTATCGGGCCTCTGCTGGTGCAGGTGGGGGTGGGGAGCTGCTTTTAGGGGTAATCTGAAAACCCGCTATGGGGAGCAGGCTTCTCCACAAAGCCTCACAAGGAACAGCATAGGAAAGGGGCCCGATCTCTGCTGCTTCACGGCTCAGAACATGTACTGGATGGAATGTATTTTTAAGAGAATAAAGTCTATTTTTTTGTATTTTAAAGATGGGGGAAGGGGGCTAGGAGAGAGCCCTGCAACTTGTCAGTGCATCACCGGCTTCTCTGCTGGGCCTTCAGCCTCCCTGCTCAGGCAGGCATTTTGGTCTCCTGCTCTGGGAGGCAGGTGCAGCTCCACATTCCTGCTCCAGGCGTGGGAGCACAGCGCCTGCAGCTGTCTGCTTGCATGCACGCGGGCCCCGCAACACTGTGTGTAACCAATAAAGCTCCCTCGTTTCCATGTGGTCCACGTGTCTCTGTGTTAAATGCGATGTTGCAGGTGATGCAGTTTACTGCAGTTGACTTAAAAGTCCCAGGCACTGGAAGCAAGGGCAGAGGAAGGGACAGATCAAGCACCCACATAACTGGAATCTGCAGCAACAGCTGTTTGCTAGACACTTTATTTTGGGGGCTGCTGTTAGCAAAAAAAATACTGTCTCAAGCTACCACTTACTTTAAAAAAAAAAAAAAAATCCCACTGCCATCATGGGTGCCCTGACTGTCCCCAGTGACGGGATGGCTGCTGGGACTGGGGTGCAGGCCCAGGCACCTCTGCACGGCGTCCTGGCCTTCCCCATCAGTCACAGTAACCCTTTAAATTCTTCCATGCTGCCCCCCACCGAGTACCACCAGCATGTCCCTTACATCCTAAGAAAGCTTTACTTAAAGTAATTCTAAGTGACTGATGCCAACAGAGGAGCAGATCGCTCACGTGCGTGTGACACTGGCTCATCTGCCACAGCCCTTGTGGAGGTTGCTGTTGTTTTTGTTACTGTCCATATGGACTCTGCACGGGCAGGGGTGGAGAACAGTCCCCACGACCAGGTGACCCTTCAGTGCCATCTCAGGAGACAGGACATGGACTGCCAAGAAGGCCGCAGTGGTGGCAGCAGAGGCTGCAGGGGCACAGCGACTGCATGCAGACAGGACAGCGTGCTCTGCTCAGAGCCTTGTGTGAACACAGCCGGCAGGCCCTTGGTAGGTGTACGTCCAGACTTCCAAGGAGTTTCGTGGTCTGCTTCCGATCTCCCTATGTAACACTTCCCAGTACTGGGATATCCAAGCCCTGGGCGGGAATCTGGCACTACCACAGGTGCCAGCTTTGATGTGGCCTTCTAGTCACACACCACTGCCTGCCGTTCTGGAACCTTCGCTTTTAACCCAATGAGGCCCCTTCCTCTATGTCAACCTCATTATTTAAAATGCAGGGTAAGCGATTCAAAGCAGTGATGGTCTGTCTCCAACCCAAAGGGGAAATAATAGGACTAATTTTATATGAAGATTTATTCTCAATATATATATATATAAAAAAAAAACATCCACCACACACACCAACTTTCATAATACTTGCTTGCCTCAGTCTGTGAAGGGTCCACTCCACGCTAATGGGCCAGTTCCTCGTTCTCCACGTCCCACGCAGGCGGCAGTGGCCCCCTGTGACCAGGAGCTCACACCAGGGACTGAGTGCAAGCCCAGATGCCAGGGGGTGGTTCTTGGTGGCATCTAATATTGCTAGAAGAGCTTTGCTTACACAGCAAAATGACAGGCACAGGGGCGCCACCCTCAGAGCACGTCTGTCACATGCTTGGGGACTGCTGCGCAGGGACACCTGGTGTGGCCTGGCGAGGCAAGGTGTACATGGCCCCTAAGAACTGGTCTGCAATCCTTCCTGCTTCTCGCAGCCCACTCAGCAGAGCACCGTGCACTGTGGCTGGGTAGTTCCGGATTGTGTGTTCTCCCGCGAAGAAGAGTCGTGGGATGGGCTGTTTGAGATAAAAACAACAGTTTGCAAATATACCTTCATTCTTGCTGCATCTGAGCCCCCCACTCAGTACTCCCTTGAACTGATTTTCCTACAACTGAAAGGAGAAATGGGACAACTGAACAGCCGCTGTTCCATGCTGTCAACTGCATCCGTCCCTGCTGGTTTCCTGCTCCCAGTCCAAGAGCACTGTTCTCTCATGTGGTACCTGCTGAAGACCCAGGACAGATCATTTATTCTTACTCAGAAATTTTTGCTCCTCCACTCAGCAGGCCGGAGTCCTGGGCTGATACAAAGAAATTCAGTGCTCCCTGAACCAGCACATCCCAGGAACTTCGGAAGCTGAGGGCCCCAGTAGTTCTGAGTCACTACCCATCATGATGATTAAAGTTTTTGTTATGGGGCCCGGCAGCGTGGCCTAGCAGCTAAGGTCCTCACCCTGAACGCGCCAGGATCCCATATGGACACTGGTTCTAATCCCAGCAGCTCCACTTCCCATCCAGCTCCCTGCTTGTGGCCTGGGGAAACGGTCGAGGACGGCCCAAAGCTTTGGGATCCTGCACCCGTGTGGGAGACCCAGAAGAAGTTCCTGGATCCTGGCTTTGGATTGGCATATCATTGGCCGTTACGCTCACTTGGAGAGTGAATCATTGGACGGAAGATCTTCCTATCTCTCCTCCTCTCTGTATATCTTACTTTCCAATAAATAAATAGATAAATCTTTTTTTTTAAAGACAGTTTTTGTGATGGAAACTGGGTAGGAAAAAAATTCCTTAAATCTGCTTTGGACACTTGAAGTATGGACAGCCTGGATCCAACATTTTTTTCCTCCCTCTGCTCCTGGAGATCATTCATGGATAGAATTACTAAAAGTAAGAAAACAATAAAACTACTAACCAACAATTTTACCAAGATTTTGGGATCTCGGCCTTTTCCCCAAAAAAGGCCTGGTATGGTTTTCGCCAGTTTCTCACCTGGGGGGCTCCTGGAATTGAGGGACCAGGAGTGATGGGCTGAGCCATTAAGTCATAGTCATTGCCTGACGATCCTGCGGCGACGTAGGAATAAGAGCCCCGGGCCCAGGGATCAGCACGCCAGCGGGACACCACTGTTTCCTTGGGCTGAAGGGAAAAAAATCCACCAACAAACCAACTAGTCAGACAGGTGGAGAGCACTTGCTCTGCTGCCCGAGGCTCAGACCAGGCTGCAAGGAGGCCTTGTGCTGTCGTGTCTAAATCCAGAGGCCCATTCAGGACCAGACCTGCAGCTCTGCGTACCCATTCATGTGACACATTAGCACGCCTTCTGAGCAAGGAGACTATTCCAACAGAGCCTAAAGAGTGGAATGAAACGCCAACAGATTCTACAAGACGCCAGGCTCTTCGCTGGAGTCGTTACCTCATGTTAGAAGGCAGAGGAGAGTCACAGTGCTCACCCCGAGGACTTCTCTGAGCCTCACACTGGGGCCAAAGTTTAAACAGTAATATTCACGTAAACCACAGCAGACGAAAGCAATGCTGACCCAGAACCTATTCTGCAAGCAGCTTAGACCCCGGTTTAGTCTGAGCCCTGGATCCCTGCTTGCCCATAAGCCGACTTACCTGGGGCACTGCACTGCTACCAAAGATCCCTTTAAGTATAGCCAGGCACCGGCCAACAATTACATCATCACTTATATTTTCCATGATACCAGCAGCTTCTCCAGCCACCAGTGCCAGAAGTATCGGGGCTAAAGAAACAAAGGAAAATGACAAGGTTTTCTACCTCATTCTTGGTACAGCACTCTAAAATATTGAGGCGAATGCAAATGAGGCAGCTGGGAGCTGGCAGACCACAGGGAGTGCAGTGTGACTCCCAAGTCTGCCACTGTCAACTGCAGAATAAACCACTTCCACCTCCACTCCGGCCCCAGGTGACTGGGCCCCCAAGGCCGTCTTTCTGCACCTCACTCTGGTTGAAACGGCCTGCCTCTGCAGCACAGCCCTCCCTGGGGTGTGAGCTCCCTGAAGACGCTACTTTCCTCCAAGCCCCAGCTTCTAGAAGGACTTCAGGAATTATTTGTAGCATATGTATTTGAGAAAAGCACAGACTATGACTAACTCTGCGAACCTCTAACAGGGACCAGGGGAAAAGCAGAAAGCAGTCACCTTTGTAGAGGTTCCAGAACAGAAAGAGCTCGCCCCTGCTGGCAGTTGTACTGCCAACATGGCCAAACAGGTTGACACTCGGATCCCAGAATACCCGGTCGAAGCACAACACCACCTGCCGTGAGAAAGGAATACCACAGTGGGAACAGGCTCCGAGAAGCATGACCATGCCCCCAACAGAAGTACTTCCCTTCGGGACTCTTAGGACAAAGACCCTTCCACTCTCAGCTTAAGGCAAGACGGCTCTAAGAACCGTGTCACCCAGGCCAATGCTCACAGACCTCTTGTCTGAGGCTCGACTGTGCACGATGCCCCAGTGGGACTGAAGTGTGCTATGGGATGGCACTAAGTCTGTGGCATGCCTGAGCCCTGAAGGCAATAAGCGGACAGCCTCGGCCTTGATACCACACGCAGCTGAGAGCAGAACCACATGTGTAAGGATGCAGCCCGCTCTTGGCGCAGAGTGGCGTCCAGTGAGCCTCCGTCGGGGCCCGGAGCCCACTACCTTGTTCAGGTTGCCAAATCCCATCCTCTGCACGGCAGACGTCTTCCACTCGGGAAGCGGCGGCACAAACTGAACAGCTGGCGGCTGCTGCTTCAGCACCCCCAGGGGCAGGGTGCAGAGAACAGCATCACACTTATAAATAAAAGTCTGGCTTGTGGAGCGGGTGTTCACAGCTATCACTTCGCATCCTAGAGGGAGGAGAAAACAAGTTACTGGGGATGAGGATGGCACTGGACAGGGCACCCAGCAGTCAAGTACACTCCACCTACATGCTGCCATTTCACTCTAACCACAGGCTAGCTCCGCTTTCTCAGAAGGGCAGGTAGACAGATGTGTCCAAGGCCACACAGGCTCACATGCTGGCAGCCTCAGAGTCCTTGCTCATTTCACCCTGGCAGCTCAAGTTAAGTAAACTTACATCAAAAATAAGACCAGGACCAGCTGACCAGGGCCTTCCCCATGGTAGCTGCTCACTGGGATCAAGAACAAATCCTCCAACTGTGACACAGACCTGTGCTATGCTGAGAGGCAGGCAGGCAGGCCAGGCAGCCCTGTGTCGGGCCCAAACCCCAAGTGTCCTCAGCATATGAAGCGGGGACCTGGGCCAGGAGCGCAAGATAAGTCTCCTATGTGGATGGCAAGAGCCCAAAGTTACTTTATTTACAAGGTAGATTTTACAGAGAGAGAGAGAGACATCTTCCGTCCATTGGTGCGCTCGTCACAGGGCTCAACCAGATCTGAGCTGGTCTGAAGCGAGGGACCAACGGCCTCTCTGTGTCTCCCACATTGGTGCCTTGGCTATTCTCTGCTGCTTTCCCAGGCCTTAAGCAGGGAGCTGGATGGGAAGCAGAACAGTCAGGAGCCAAGTGCACCAACATGGCTCTTCAACAGATATCTTCACAACCGGATCAGAGGAGGTGCCAGCACATAGCCAGGCTAAAGTCAGGAGAGCAGCCAGGAATCATGAACTGGCACTCACATGGATTCTGGTTTCATAGGCAGCAGCGGCTAACATGCTATGCCACAATGCTGGTACCCTGCCAGGTGACTCCTAGGCACATACTGATCCCAGCTGGTCACAACAGAAATGTGCTCAATGCTGACCTCAGAAAGATTACTGAATTATGCGAATAGGATTCTTCCTCATTTGTATTTTTTAAGTGAAAGCCTATTTAAAAATATATATATAAATAGCTCAAAATAAGTGCACAAGCTCAGAACATGCCCATTTTCTATGGCTATAAAATAGGACAAACTATACTATCCTCATTGTTTTCCATCTTTCACATACCTTTAAATGGAAAATCATTTAAATGGTTATAAAAGCGAAACAGAACAACAAGAGACCAAACAGCACCTGAGTAACTGGGAACAGGCCCAGGGAAGGAATGGCTGATGCTGCGTCTGCCCCTCGGCCCAGGCACGAGGGCCCTTACAGAGGCAGGATTCCAATAAGACCACCGATTCCGTGGCAGGTGGGCAATGGGGGTCTCTGAAAGCAGCGCTGAGCACACTGCTCAGCAAGCACTCGGGCAGCTTGCCAGCAGCACAACTCCACAGCTAGGAGGCTGTCAGTACAAAGGAACCCTGCTGAGCAGGAGCCAGAGTGGTGAAACACCAACAGCGGGCCCCTGGAGCCCACGTGCCAGTCCTCGTATTCATCAATAAACTCAGTAACATCAGATTGACACTGCCTGCCTTAACACCAAACTCCTCCGCATATAGGCTGAAAGCTGTCACAGCTTGTCTCAACAGTCTCTCACCTGGAACTGCCAAACTGGCACCTGTGCATCCCAGGGCACCAGCAGCCGCCAGGAGACACTGTCCTTGCCTGCCTGAGGGAGGCACCAACTTGCACGTAAGCACAACATACCTGAAGCCGTGTAGCGGACCTGGCGCACGGCTGTATTCAGCTTGATGTCCAGGCCTTCTGCTAAAGCCACAGGCACACATGAGTAGCCATTCCTCACTGTCAGGTGGCTTCCAGTAAACTCAAAGTCATCATCCTGAAGGAGAGAGGACACAGCCCAGTCTTAGTAAAATCCAGGATGAAAGACAATGCTAGTGCAAGTCAGTGGTTTAAGGCAGAGACTAAATCATCACAACTCAGTTTTGATGGTCCCGAGAAAGCCAAATAGAGTAACAAGCAAGCACACCCAAATGTCCCCAGTCTTCGAGCACCGAGATTCAGGCGGGTCCCTGCTACGCTTTTAGGACAGCAGTCCTTGGTGGGCAAGTGGAAACGAAGGGAGCCCGAGAACCAAGACAATCAGACAGGACACAGTTTATTTCTTTGGCTTTTAAAAGCATTTCAGATTCAGCATCCTGAATATATCTTACTGAAGAGTCACTTTGTTCCTTTAGCCTACAGGTTGCACAGTCGAGGAAGACTTGCAAAGCGCAAGTCCTCAAGTCAGATACAGGCAAGCCAGGACACTGACAAGATATTCCATCCAAATAGTAAAAAGCAGCACGTTTGGCCTTGCAATGGATAATCTCTCCAACTGACCTATTTCCTTGAATTTACTGAAAAACTTTCTACATCAAGAATTTCTCTTATGAAAGTTAGTCACTACTTCCAATTTCATGAATGTGTGCGGCAAACAGCCTCAACGACTGCTCCCCTGCTTGGCTGACATGCAGTCCCACCCTTCCCACGCACGCAGTGCCAGACACCAAGCGAACTGCGAATGATGAACTGATGCCCAGAGGTCCAACAGTGTCCTCATAGAAAGCCACAGAGGAACTGGGAATTCTACAAGATTTTTAACACTAACAAGCCCAGCCCTCACTATAATTCAAATGTTAAATAAAAGATTAATATAAAATATGCAAGTAAGAGCCTGGCGCCGTGGCCTAGCAGTTAAAGTCCTTGCCTTGAATGCGCCAGGATCCCATATGGGTGCCGGTTCTAATCCTGGCAGCCCCACTTCCTATCTGGATCCCTGCTTGTAGCCTGGGAAAGGAGTGGAGGACGGCCCACAGCCTTGCGACCCTGCACCTGTGTGGGAGACCCAGAAGAGGCTCTGGGTTCCTGGCTTCAAATTGGCTCAGCTCCAGCCACTGCAGCTGCTTGGGGAGTGAATCATTGGATGGAATCTCTTCCTCTCTGTATATCTGACTTTGCAATTAAAATAATTATTTGTAAAAAATATGCAGGTAAAAACTTAACAAGCCACCAGTTCAAGAATCAATCATACTTCAAAGAAATCATAAAGAGGGTAAGCTTTGTTTGCTGCTAGAAATAAACTGAGGGACCAACCAGATCCATGGATTAGAAGACTAGCTATTATTAAGAAGACAATACACCTCAAATGACTCTAGAAATTTGATGCATTCCTCACAAAGATCTCAAGATTATTTTTTGGAAGAATTAACAAGCTGATTCTAAAATTTTTATGGAAATACAAACACCTAAAATAGTCAAGACAATTTGAAAGAACAGAGCTGGAGAATTCCTAACACTGCTTATGAGACTTACGGTGGCCTAATCCGAGGCCCACCTGTCATGTATCATCCCTTTTAACTATTAATATTTAAAAAAACACACACACATACAAAAATTTAAAAAGACAATGGGTGAAGCAATGGGAATCCAAAGCCTGTGGTGCTGGCAGGTGCAGACAGATGCACATGTGGAGCCCAGCTGGCCACAGGTTCACACTCCTGAACCAAGACAAGCGAGGAAAAGATGGTGCTGGAATAATGAGGTAACTGTACAGAAAACCAAGAACCTTGCTCTCCGCATCCTCTGCACTCCAAAATTAACTCAAGATGGATTACAGACCTAAACAGAAGAGCCCACAAATGCCTGGAAGAAATCTCTATGACCTCAGATAAGGATCGGGGCGTGCAGTGCGTACAGCAGGCTGAGCCCCTCCTTAGGACGCCCACATCCCTCCTGGAGCATCGGCCTGTGCCCGCTTACTCTGGTCCCTGCTTATTTACCCAGTGGATGGAAGGACTCTGTCACTCTGCCTTTGAATAAATAAATAAATAAATCTTAAAATACATAAAAGTACAAAAAAAGCTGTACTCTTTGACTCAATCCATAAGGAGCGGAACACTAAGCAAAATGCTAAAATGCTAATGACAGAAAGTCGATCAGAGCTGTCAGACCAGGAGCAGATGCCAGTCTCCCAGCAGACGGCAAGTTCTAGGGCGATGGAAATGTTCTATGAAGGTACTTCAGAAAGTTTGTGAAAAACAAGATTAAAAGTTCATTTTGGCACAAAAACAGTCTTGCAATTCAAGCAGCTTTTCCTAACACACATTTGCCATGAAGCTGCTGAAGAAGGTTTGTCTTCTTTGTGGTGGTGGAACACGACGAAGTATCTCCTCTAAAAGCTGCTTGAAAACACAAACTCACAAATTCAAGCTGCTCTTCACAGCCTTCTTACAGACACATGTCCCGAGAAAGTGATGCAGGAACTCACCTGATCCCAGTGTTTAAGGGAAAGGGTAGACAGGGGTGTGGCGTTAGCAAACTCAAGGTTTGCAAAATGCCAGTCAAGTATCTGTCTGTCTCTTGATGAAAGATACACATCACTGCAAAACAAGGACGGAGAAGCACAGGGTCATTAAGACATTCCTACTCTTTCCAAGGAACCGGCCTGGGTGATGTCAGCTGACTGTGCTGTCATCCAGCAGGGATGGCACCTCGCGGGCAGCAAGCAGGGCCTGGCACAGGCACTGTGACATTATGGATAAACCTACTGCCTGCCTATGGTCACAGGTTTGTGTTGAAACTACCCCACTTCTGATTCTGTTCCCTACTGATATGCCTGGGAAAAGCATAGAGGTCAGCCTAAGTATCTGGGCCCCTGCCACCCACGTGGGACACCCAGCAAAAGCTTCTGGCTCCTGGACAAAGCCCCACCACTGCAGCCACTTGGAGAGTCAGCCAGAAGATGGAAGATCTCTCCATTCTTTTTTTTTCTCTTCCTTGTCCCTTCTCCATCTCTACTTCTGACCTACAGGTAATTTGATAAATTAAAAAACAAAATATAATAAGTAGGAACTTATTCTCTCATTAAGTGCTTCACTGTGGTGCCTAGAACAATGCCAAACTCACTGTGGAAATCAAATTACAATGGGACCACATTTGTCTGAAAAAAAAAAAAAAAAAACCAAACCTCATCTTCATGTGAAGTTCCCTGGCATTACAAAAGCTTATAATACAAACTGTGGTCTTCTGTTCTCAGTAAGACACCAGCAAGGACCTGATGCCTGTGACAACACAGAACAGCTGCCGTGTGCGAGGCGCAGGGCACGCACGCCGTCATTTTCAAGCTCCACTGGAAGCAAAGCACGAGGCCTCCTCGGCCCCAGAAGCACAGCACCTCCTCCTGCACTCCTCCCGGACACGTCTTCCATCCAGTGCGTCTGCACCGACATGGACCTTAGCAACATCTGTACACAGACCCCGACGTTCTCACACCCGCGGGAACAGGCCAGGGGATTTAGGAGCCTGGCAGGGAGTGACCTATTTTTCATTTACTAAACAATTTAAATTCAATTACTGAATATAATATAAAAGTTTGCTGTGCTCCATCATTTTCATTCTAAACCCAACAGAAACAACAGCGAACGCACCATCTGAATGCTCCCGCGTTCCCCTTACCTTGGAGGATTGGCTTCCAATTCTTGAAGCTTTTCTTCTAGCTTTCCTTGAGTTTCAGCTAATTCGTCATATTCCTGATAAAATTAAGTAAATCCGGTTATCATGGTGGTCAGATGTCCACTATAGCTGCTATACCAATCTATATCTGGACCATATTTCCTTATAGTTCAGCCAATATGACTCAATTTAAGGCTGGGGTCAGGATCTAGGATTTTGTTTTTAGAAACAAGTTACCACCGTGAGCCTGAGATAAGATTAGAGGAGAGGGAAAACATGGAAACATCAAGGAAGGTGCATGCTAACATGCTACAAAGGAAGGAAACTCCCAGCAACTGCTGCCTCCTCCGCGATGACCATGTGCCCAGCAGTGGCCTGCCGACATCAAGCTCCCCGGGGACTCCCAAGTTGATGCTCTTATTGCTGCTGTACAGCCAACACGACGGAGGATCACATGGCCAAGCGACAGCAGGACAAGGATTCAAATCACAAACCAAACTGAGATTAAATCATCTAAAATGATGGAGGTTGTTAGGAAAGGTAAGAGTTCTACAGGAAAGAAGGTTTCAAACCGAAGCCACCCCGAGTCCTGTGCTGCTTGTGTGATAACCCCTCCTCCTCTGGCTCCAGGTGTGGGGACGGGCCAGGGTTGGTCCTGCTCACGGGCCTCCGGGGCTGGGCTGCTGCTCAGGACTCAGGGTACACACGTATGGCCTCACCTTGCAAAGTGCAGTCAGGTCCCTGTGCTTGCTTTTCACCAAGAACTCTGCGGTGATGTCCCTGGGGGGCTTCACTTCAGCTGCTTCTTTGTACTGCTGATGGAGTTCCTTAATCTTCTCTTTCAAATTTACCATCTGAAACAGAGAAGTAAAATTCACCATTCTAGATACCTAAGTAATTCATCCCCAAACATCCCCTTGATGCTGGCTCCTCCTTCCTAAACGGCCTGCACACTGAAAGAAGCGACAGTGCAGTCCTCGGGCAGGAGGCCTTCAATACTTGCCCCATTGAAGGCAATCAGGAGTCGGGAAACACCCGACAGGAAGTGCCCACGAAGTATAAAACACCACCACATAAACAGGACCACTTTGGCCTTCCAAAGCAAACAAAAGCACAAACAGTGTTTCATTAATCTAAAAAGACTGAAATAAATTTAATTTCCAGGAAAAAAAAATTCTACCAAGTTAACTTAAAATTACTTTGGGAAAGAAGCTGTCATAATCTGTTTAAAAGTTAATTGATTGGGCCCGGCGCGGTGGCGCAAGTGGTTAAAGGTCCTTGCCTTGCACGCCCGGGATCCCATATGGGCGCCGGTTCTAATCCCGGCAGCCCCGCTTCCCATCCAGCTCCCTGCCTGTGGCCTGGGAAAGCATTCGAGGACAGCCCAAAGCTTTGGGACCCTGCACCCGGGTGGGAGACCCGGAAGAGGCTCCTGGCTTCGGATCGGCTTCGGATCGGCATAGTATCGGCCTGTTGCGCTCACTTGGGAGTGAATCATGGGACGGAAGATCTTCCTCTCTGTCTCTCCTCTCTCTGTATATCCGCCTTTCCAATGAAAAAATAATAAAAATAAATCTTTAAAAAAAAAAAAAGTTAATTGATTTTTGCTTGAAAGTAAGAGTTCGAGACAGAGAGAGCTTCCATTCAATTGGGTCCACTCCCCAAATGGCACAATAGCCAGAGATGAGCCAGTCCAAAGCTGGGAGCCAGAAGTTTCTTCCAGTTTTCCTACGTAGGTGCAGGGGCCCAAGGCTTTAGGCCATTTTCTTGCTGCTTTCCCAGGCCATAAGCAGGGAGCTGGATCAGAAGTGGAGCAGCTGGGACTCAAACTGACACCCATATGGAATGCCAGGCCTGCAGGTAAAGGATTAGTGTGCTATGCTACCACACTGATGTCAAGGAACCATTTTTAATACCAATGTTTTCAAATTTCTGACACAACTTCATACCAACTGGGTGGTGGCAGTTAACGCCTGAGGCAAAAAGCCAGCTTTGTGTCACGGCATGTTAAGCTTCTACTTGCAACACTGATCCCGTATCATAGCACCAGTTCAAGTCCTGGCTGTTTTGTTTTCCATCCAATCCCTTGCTAGTTTGCTTGGGAGAGCAGCAGAAGTTTCTGGGTCCCGGTCATCCATGAGAGAGACCCAGATGGATTTCCAACTCCTGGCCTTGACCTGACTAAGTTTCAGCTGCTACTGGTTCTTGGGAAGTGAACTAGCAGCTAGATCTGTTTCTCCCCTCCCCTACCTGCAACACTCTGCCTTTCAAATAACAATTCTTTAAAAAACACCTTCACAGGCTGGTGCTGTAGCTAAACAGGCTAGTCCTCCACCCTGAGGCACTGGCATCACATGTGGCTGCCAGTTCATGTCCCAGATGCTCCATTTCTGATCCAGCTATCTGCTTGTGGCCTGGGAAAGCAGCAGAGGATGACCCAAGTTCTTGGGATCCTGCACCCATGCGGGAGACATGGAAAGGGTTCCTGGCTTCTGGGCTTCAGATTAGCTCAGCTTTGACCACTGCAGCCAGTTGGGGGACTGTACCAGCAGATAAAAGACCTTCTCTCTCTCCTCTTTGTAAATATGCCTTTAAAACAAAGCCAAAACACAACACTCAGCCTGGGGCCCACAGACATGCTGCTGCTCGGCAGCTTTCAAGCCCTTCTTGCTGCTTTATCCTTGCCGTGGCTACGAAGGCAAGCTCTTCATTTGGCAGAAGACAGAAACACGGCAAGGGTGAAATCAGAGTCCAGTTGCAAGGTGCACCACAGTGTGCTCCAGAAACCCCCGTCTCCAGTGCAACGGGCTCCCTCTCCCTGAGCCACATGGTGCCAGCAGCAGGCAAGATGAGGAGAAAGCAAGCGCTGGCCTTGAGCCATTTGGCCCCAGTGTGCAGGGCGCCAGCAGCAGAGAGACCTCAGCTGGAGAATGCAGTGTGGGTGGTGACGCCTCAAGAGCAGGAATCATGGCAAGCAACTGGCTGCTGCTTTGTGAGCCTCATCAATGACACTTGGCCCTAGCAGAGCTGAGCCAGCTTGGAAAAGTCAGAGGGAGCCAGACAGTGTGGAAGAAAAAACCTATTTCCCTAGCAACAATTTGCCAAAAAGAATGAAGTCCCAGTTAGGCAGAGTTTTCTCACATGAAGGAAAAAAAACAAAACAAAACAGGGTGATGGTGTGGTGGCTTAGCATGCTAATCCTTGTGCAGCACCAGCATTCCATATGGGTGCTGACTGAAGTCCCGTTTGTTCCACTTCCAAACCAGCTCCCTACAAATGTCCTGGGAAAGCAGCAGAGGAAGCCCCTGGCTCCCAGCCTGGGACTGTCTCAAAATCTGAATTGTCAAATAAAAGCAAATTTTAAACAAAACAAACACACACACACGACCAGGACAACCAGTCCATGTCCCAGCGGCATCCGGCTCCATGTCTGTGGCCTGGGGAAGCAGCAGAGGATGGTCTGAAACCTTGGGACCCTGCAACCACGTGGGAAACCCAGAGGAAGCTCCTGGCTTCAGATTGGCTCATTTCTGGCTGTTGCTGTCACTTAGGGAGTCAATCAGTGGACAGAAAATCTTCCTCTTGTGTCTTCCTCTGTGTATCTCACTTTCCAATAAAAATAAATAAATCTTAAAAAAAAAAAAAGCTTCGGGCCTGGCGCCATGGCCTAGTGGCTAAAGTCCTCAACTTGAATGTGCCGGGATCCCATATGGGTGCCGGTTCTAATCCTGGCAGCTCCACTTCCCATCCAGCTCTCTGCTTGTGGCCTGGGAAAACAGTTGAGGATGGCCCAAAGCCTCGGGACCCTGCAGCTGTGTGGGAGACCTGGAGGAAGTTCCTGGCTCCTGGCTCCAGATTGGCACAGCACCGGCCGTTGCACTCACTTGGGGAGTGAATCATCGGACGGAAGATCTTCCTCTCTGTCTCTCCTCCTCTCTGTATATCTGACTTTGTAATAAAAATAAAATAAATCTTTAAAAAAAATAATAAATTTAAAAAAAAAACAAAAGAAAAAACCAGAATGCCTTTTAAAATCTCTTAATTAAAGGCTTTCTCCTCACTGACGCGTGTTCAGCTATTGAGCAGTTTTACCTTATTGAGAAGCTCCTTCAGTTCTTCCTGGGTCTTCACTATCTTCTTCCAGTGTTCAATCTGCTCATCTTTGACATGCTTCTCTTGCAACCTGAGAGACAACACGGAGCCTTTGTAGTACAGGAAGGTGTCTGCTACAACATCCAGGGAGCTGGCCTTTGTGACTGTCCCCCAGGGGTGACTGATGTTCTGCCACCTGCAGGAGGGCCCTGGATGGCACAGCTGGCTCTTGGTTCTGGTCCTGGCCTTGGAGACCGAGCTGCAAGATGGCAGTGTGTGCACGTGTTCTAGTTCCCTCTCTGTTCACACAAAAGCAGCCAGCATTGTGGCACAGTAAGCTAGGCCTCTGCCTGTGGCGTGGACATCCCTGAGTCAACTCCCTGTTATGGTTTGTGAAAGCAGCGGCAGAGGGCCCAAGTCCTGGGGCCCCTGCACCCATGTGGGGGAACCAGAAGAAGCTCCTGGCTTCTAACTCTGCCTTTCAAATAAAAATAAATCTCAAAATAGATAACGTTGATTGGTGTTAAGTAAACAGTATCAAAAGGTGACTTTTAGAACGGACGGAGTCTTGAGGTTCACAATCATTTCTTTCTTTTTTTTTTTTTAAACAATTTTATTTTTGGATTTAACACCTTAGCTCACTTAAATAAGATTTTATAAAAGCTTAAAACAAATGGCAAATCACTAATGGAGTTCCAGTATCAAAGTACTTACTGAATGACAACTTCCAACGCCTGACCCAAGGACACAGGCTTATTATTGAGGACATTGAAGTCTAGCTGATGACTAAGGTAAGACGTTGCTTCTAGAAGCCGGTTGAACTCTTGTTCTACCATTTCATCTTTCTCTTTTGGAACCTAAAAATTCGAAGTATAGCAGAGTTGGTCCTTACAAGACTAAATAATCATTAGCAAAAACACAAATGTCCTACAGTTTAAAAATGTCAAAATATGTATCTCAAAGGTGAAACCTTTGAGGAAAGTGATTTTGAATTTTCTTTTCTATGAAGTGATCAATTCCATTTAAATGAGGTATGAGATGTTTTGAGCCTGGTTCCTGCCCTGTCCTCCCACGTCTGCCCCGACAGCTAGGTCTCTGTCACAAGGTCACACCGCTCTAACGGCAATCACATGGAGCACAGGTGCACTGAGCTGACATGCACTGCCCTGAGCTGCACTGACATGCAGACAACACACTAGTAAAGGTCCAGGGAACCAACACCACGCCATCTTATCTGAGGATGTTCCAGGGTAAGTGTAGAACGGGAAAATTAAGAAGCTCAAAGCATCTGCTTCCCCTCAGAGGTGGCAGAATTTCAGGTAACAAGTGAAATGCATGGCTACTGAAGAGTGCACTAGCACCCTTACTCCTCAGAGTGAAGGGTTCAATGGCACTGGGAAGTTCAGACTCGACTGTCCCAGGCTCTCAGAGAAACTGTGAGTGACTGAAGTACCAGATGTTTGGGCTACTCAGTGCTGCAGGTGAAGTGAACAGATCATAGTTCATTCCCTGAGGTGACACTGGGCACCTGCCACTGACCCATCAGCCAGTTGACACACATCCTTCTGCTACTGAGTGATGGAAACGAAGCAGACTGCATCTGCATTCCTACCGCAGAAGTCCAGGCAACCGGAGAAGTCCCCCAGGGCCAAGGGAAGCACACGTGGCAGAGGTCGTGCACTGACTGGGGGATGGGATTCCGACCTTGTGGAACCCAGGTTTACAGTCAACTCAAAACAATAACAAGACACAAAACACTAAAGTGTGTGCTAGTTAACACGAGACTGGGGGAAGGTTTTTTTTTTTTTCTTTTTTAAGTAATCAGAGATAACTGCTGACAAGACCAACACAGTGAGACTCTACCTCTCAAAACACTGTTTCCGTTCATCTCAACTACACAGTGTTGAGCCTTGGCCTCAGTCCCGCACTGATCACACAACCAACTCCACAGATGAGCCACCACGATGCAAAAAGCAGCTGACAGGAAGTGCAACCTTAGCTACAGAAGGAAAGAGGACTGCGGTTCTTCTTGGAAACTGCAATGTGCAGACAGAACTGCTCTAACAGCCACCACACGGGGGAGACAGCTCAGGAGCCTTGAGTCAGACGCTCACCCACACCTCTTAAAGCTTCGGCTTCACGCTTCAGCACAGGCTTTGGATGGCGAGGATGTACCAGGGAGGTATCGCATTGGTGAATCAAAAATGTCCATTCAATTCCAGAAAACAGCTGGAAAACGAGCTCTTAGTGACAAGTCCTCCTGATTTGGAATGTACAGTTTTAGCAGTTGATAAAGAGATGCTCTTCTCAGGAATTCACTTACTTTCTGATCAGTTACTTTTTATCGTGATATGAGAATGGGTATCTCTACAGAGCAACCCAAAAGAATGCAATTTTGCTCATAAACTGGCCATTTCTAATCTGACCCATTCGGTACTACAAAAATAGTTCTTGACGTCTGAATCTGGTTCTCTTTTCAAAAGATATCATTAAAAGACAGCTGTAGTTATGAAATCATAACTAATCACAGATGCAATGCACTCAACTGCATGTCCTAGAAAATAAAAAAGGGATATTCCAATGGGCGGCTTCTAACACTCCTGGCAAGAGGATGGCACAGCAGGAGGGCCCAGACCCCACAGGCATCCCCCGTGGGGCAGGCTGGCTGGGAGTGTGCAAATGGGGCCGATTAAAGCTCTTCCAGTGTCAACTGGACCCTTGTTCAGACAAGCTTTAATCTCTGCAGGTCAGGTGACAGGCTCAGGGACCGGGGTCCAGGGTGTGTGGTGGAAAGATATTTAAAGGGACACTGTCAAGGTTAGAGGGACCAAATTTGACCTTTTGTTTCTTCCCTCTGCTCAGCAGCCCACTTGGTTCTTACACTTCCTCCTTTAGTCCACCCATACACTCCCTCCCCTTAAAAATACCCTGTTTTTACATGCGTTTTCAATGACAAAAACTTGATGGCACCAGCCCAACACACAGGCGCAACTACACCAACAGACCAGTGTGATGCAGGATGGAGAGGACCTCGAAAGGAAAGGATTTCAGTGTCAAGTTTTCAATGGGATATTGTAAACAGTGAGGAAAATGACTGGAAAAATCGTGAAAAAATACCTTGACAGTGTCCTTTTAACCAGTGCAGCAGAGAGAGAAATAAACTGTAAATAACAGCCCAACAGCCACGTCCTTTAATTTTGAATGACAGCAGTAAAATCAGGCTTTAAACATAGCATGACAGAAGCATTCTGTTTTGCAAGAAGCTGCAACCATTCGAATATAAATACGGAACAGACTGTACAGAGACCAAAATGGGAACGGCAAATGGCCAAAAGAAAAGCAACTGTAAAAAGGCAGGGAGGGAAAGGTGGCCAAAAGCAATGAGAAATAAAGCAAAAACTCAATAGAAAAGGAAAGAAAGAAAACACAGAACAGTAACAAAATCAAAAAACAGAAACAAAAATAAAAACAAAGTTTACCACCAGGCCGCCGCCGAGGGCAGAACCGCTGGTGTGATACACAGCTCTGAGCGGAGGCTCAGTTTTAGGAACTTAGGCACCAGACTCAGCACCTGAGGCCCCCTCAGCTTTCTGCCCCATGAAGCAATTACAGGAATGTTCCAAGTGCAGTGAGGGATCACCCTGAAACCTAATAATGCTTCTGTTAACCTTAAAATTACTACTTTGAAATTAAAGAAACATTCAGTAAATAAAACATTTGCCCATAAGAGAATCAATACTGATTGAGAGAAAAACCAAACTGTGTTTTTAATATATTTACATCTTGAATCCACCTCCAAAAATAAAACATGTTAACACAGCCAATTGATGAAAAGAACTCTAGCAAGCGACTGCCCTTAACACTATCTCTTTCCCTCAGATGCTAATAATTTCACAATTAAGAAACTGAAATATTTGTAATCTCTAAATACAGCAGTAAGTGTAATTTTACGTGTCTATTCCACTACATGCCCACAAGAAGGTACACTTCAATAAGTATGTGGAAAAATAAAATCATAAGCTAAGTTTTTAAAATTCAAAAATAATTTTTTCAGAAAAGAACTTTTTAAAAACTCCTTATATGTATGGATTTTTAAAACTGTCAAAATAGCCCATTGTTTAATTTCACTTTCTACACACTTTTGAAATACCCTCATATCGCATCTTAAAAAATGAACTGGAACAAATGATTACAAAGGATGCAGCAGCACAATGGGAGGCAGGTAAGACCTGGTAACAGCGACTCAGAAGAATTTAGTAGAAAGGGACTAATCATACAACAATCTTCTATAAAGGAAGCAAACAAAATGCTACCATCTTAAACAGATTTTGATTATGCCTTTTCAAAGCCATTTCCTTCTCTATGAAAATCTCAGGTTAACAATTCCTTCAATAATAAAAAGTGGCCAAGTCTCACTGTTTCCAGTGGAATCCATTCTCACTGTTCTGATCCTATAGCATCCCTGATACTCACACGAAGCATTCCTGAACATGTAAAAAGGGTACAGCTGTATAGAAATAAATCTAGGGAGAGACAAACAATTTTCTGGACAGGTCCTTGCCCCTACAAGAAACAGTTCCAAAGGAAATAACAGCTCTCCTTGGTTCCACCGTTGGATGCAATCTAACATTTAGGTCTTCAAAAAGGGACATCTACCTCACTTCCAGCCTTAAGCTCTCCAGCAGCACAGCGGAATAGTTAAGTGCAGCAATGTTCCAGGCACACAAAACTGAGATTCAGCCTGGTACACTTATGATCAAACCAGGCCAACAAGGCCACAGGCAACTTCTACCTCTCCAGTGCTCACACATCAAGCATTTTTGGAATTCTATTAAGACAGAAGACTAAGGTAAACTTCTCTGGAAAATCTGGAAGAAATTTACAACTGAAAAGTTTCTAATCCAGATTCTCCCAACCAAAAGAGGAGACAAAGCCATTATACCAGCACACCAGGTATATCCTTAACCACAAACAACTCAGTGTGCTTTTATATGTGGCAACTGTTGTCTCCTCCTCTAAATTGTAAGGGATCGTTCAGTTCCTAAAAGCAATGAAGGGATGAGTGCAGAGAGCATCCACACCCACACACAAAGTGCCTAGGCCGTCTCCAGCACACAGTAGAGCTATTCAGTAAGTTCTTACTAAACTAATAATGCAACCCGTAAAAGTATTTTTATTTTATAAGATTTCTTTAAAAGGCAGAGTTAGAGACAGAGAAAGCAATCTTCTACCAGCTGGTTCATTCCCCAAATGGCTGCAATGGCAGGGACCAGGTCAGGCCAGAGCCAGGAGCCTAGCGCTATCTGGATCCCCAGGGGCTAACGGGAACCTCAGCATTTGGGCCATCGTTCACTGCCTTCTCGCCTGCATCCGCAGGAAGCTGGATGAGAAGCAGAGCAGCGGGACAGAATCAGCACCTGTATGTTAACCCACCATATCACCGTGGCCCTAAAAATTACTATTTCGAAAAGAAAAACGATTTGGAAACTTCAAGAGCATAAAGGAAGGAATTACATTTCACTTCATCTTTAAACTTCTTGTAAAGCAGAGTTTGGGCTGGCACTGTGGCATAGAGGGCAATGCCACCTGCGTCCCTAACACAGGCTATCCCTCTCAGGGTGACAGTTTGAGTTCTGGCTGTTTCACTTGTGATCCACCTCTCTTTAATATCCTGGGAAAAGCTGCAAATGGTCCAAGTGTTAGAACTCCCCCGACCCATGCCAGAGACGTGATGAAGTTTCTGGCTTCAGCCCTGGTCCAACTCTGGCTGTTGTAGCATCTGGGGAGTGAACAAGAAGGAAGAGCACTCTGTAGCTCCTTCAAACAAAAAAATACAAAGGGTAGAGTGGGGCCTGGTGTGGTAGCCTAGCAGCTAAAGTCCTTGCCTTGCACAAGCTGGGATCCTATATGGACACCAATTTGTGTCCTGGAGGCCCCATTTCCCATCCAGCTCCCTGTTTGTGGCCTGGGAAAGCAGGCAAGGATGGCCCAAAGCCTTGGGACCCTGCACTCATGTGGGAGAGCCGTAAGAGGCTCCAGGCTTCAGATTGGCACAGCTCTGGCCATTACAGCCACTTGGGGAGTGAATCATCAGACAGAAGATCTTTGTCTCTCCTCTTCTTTGTATATCCAGCTTTCCAATAAAGATAAGTAAATCTTAAAAAAAAAAAAAAGGCCAACCCCCCCCCCCCCAAAAAAGCCCAGTATTTTAGGGATCCATGCAATTGTAACCAAAACAATATAAAAATATCAAAAACCACCTGCTATGTGATTTTTTTTTTATGGTAGCAAAATGGCCAGGTAGACACCATGACAAGCTATTTCCACAACTGTCTAACTACTGGCCTTGTACACACTAAAATTATTCTCTCTTCAACTGAAGCTAGCCACAAAAACAAAACAGGCATGGCCTACTTCATCCAACAGTTCGCTAAAGTAGTCAACAGTTAAGTGAATTTCTACTCCATGTGAACCTTATTTCCTACCGGCAGAAGTTCTCACAGAGGAAGACCCAGCTGATGGAAGCAAACGGGGTCTTAAGACTTGCACATGCTCACTCATCCCAATTTCCCTGAACTTCCAGCCAGGAGCAGCAGACCAAACATGGGAATCTGAGCCAGAACACCAGGCACTGGGTCTGCTTTCCAACTTGCTGACTGCAATGACCTTAGGTTAACACTGTGTGAGCTTTCTGCAAAATGGAGAAGTAAAATTACTGACTGACCTAAAGCTAGGAGACACATTTGTAGTTATAAAAGCATTAACAATGGTATTCTCTGTACTTGTACAAAGAAGAATCTTTGCAGTACTTCTACAGTAAATCTGCTAATCAATAGTTACCCATTCTTACACTGAGCTGCACTGCCAAGCTGCTAAGGAAGAAAAACACAGAAACATTCAGGTGCCTCGTGACTAACTGCAGAAAGGAGGAATTCTCAGCCTCAAAGAATTCCCTTCCAAATATGAGATGGCTCAGGAATTTTCCTCAGCATTTGGCAACTGTACAAAATGCAAGTCGAATGTAGAAAAATCCTATACAAATTAAAGTTGAATGACAACTATCCATCTCACCTGGAAAAGTATTACTGATTACAAAATGCTGAAAATCACATCACCAGGTTAACACTTGCTGCCTAACTTACTCAGAAGAGTCAGTCCTGAGGAGATACGTGGATTTATAAACCAGAACATCAATCACTGACCAAGTCCTCCTCCCAAGGTCATCACCTGAGCAAACGGTGTAGTTATTTACATTTCTGCATCATCAGCCAACAGTTAACTAGAATAGCAGCAGGAGCAGGCCACACTTTAGCAGCACTGGCATATTATTCAGCAACAAATGCTTTAAAATAGTCTAATCTGAGGAAAGCAACCCATTTCTCTGTATATTTCTACTACAAAAAGTTTCTCTTCACTGTTAGACTAAAGAGGGAGCTGGAAGTGTGGCCCAGTTGATACGGTTGCTGCATGACATACCAATATATGGGTACCACTTAGGGTTGTGGAATGCCTCACTTGCAATCCAGCTCCCTGCTAATGGCCTAGGAAAAGCAACAGAGGATGACCCAAGCGTGTGGGCCCTTGCCCTCACATGGGAGACCTGGGTGAACCTCCTGGCTCCCGGCTGTGGCCTGGGACATTACTGGCTGTCATGGCTATCTAGGGAGTGAACCAGAAGAGGAACATATTCCCTAATTCCAAATCTTTAAGATAGTAAATAAATCTTACATAAACACGCACACACACAATCAGCTTTCTGTTGTGTTCTGTGTTGTGTTCTAACAGATTAAAATGTTGCATGTAATACTGGCATACTAATTGAAACAAGCAACAAAAAAGGCTAGTAAAAGAGCATGTACAGCAAAGCCTAGAGAAAAAAGGTGATGCCTCCATGACCAGAAACAGTCTTCAGTGTGGATTACTGCTACTTTCTCAGCTCAGCTCAGCCCTTTGCTGCCTATCTATCCCAAACACCAATCCAGTCATGGCACTGCAACATCTCCCTAGCACAGCTCTCTTTATCCTAAACTTCAGCCTTCATTTCTCCCACCCTTCCTGGGAGCAGTCCAGCCTCCTTTAGCAAGCTCTCGGCTCAGACTGACTCCTTCTCTGCCAGCAGGTCCAGCCCTCACACAACCACTGCCCTTCACCATCACTCCTGCCCCGGTCCCCTCAGCTCCTTACATTCTCTTGTCCACTGGTTCCCCTCCCCTAGCTGTACCTCTATCAAACTATCAGCAAACCTACATGCGCTGCTGGCCAATCTGTGCATAATGTATTTGTGATTTGCTTTAAAATATTCTGCATTTATAACACAGGGAATGGGATAAATATAACAAGTTTGGGAACATGGGAGTTCAGCACAGATTCTTCCTACTTTTGCATAACTTTAAGTTTACATAATAAAGAGCTAGGAAAAAAATATTTGTGTATTAGTAGTACTCTAGACTGTTGCAGGGCCTTTCTTATTCATCTCTACATCCTCTATAGATCTTTTAAGAATATCAGAAATTTATCAAATGGTTGAATAGAATTAATCCAAATTCCATCCTTTCTCTCTTATTCTACTCTTTATTCTGTGAGCAGCCTCGAAGCCCTGGCAGGAAACCTGGGCTAGGATTGCAGGGATGGGAACCCAGCCGTTTTTCTCTCTCAAGACGCCCATAAAGCCTAAGGGCAGACAGAACTAGATGAGGAAGTCCCTGGAGACCCTTGCATAAACCCGAAAAACTGAGCCATATTTCCTTTCCCTGAGTAACAGCATATTCTGAAAGGTATAGACTCTCATCATGAAAGAATATTTGGTATAATACAATCTTCTGAATCCTGTTCACCTATGGAACACAGCGTAACAGGTAGGGTGTCGGTGTGACAGGTGTCAGGTACCTGATGTGGAAGTGAAGATGCCGTTTAGGACCCACATCATTTACTGGAGTAACTGGATTCCAGCGCTGGCGCCATGCCCAATTCATTTCCCACTAATGTACTTCCTGACAGCATACAACAGCTCTGGTAGCTAGATAACAGACAAGGACTGCGTTCCTGGCTCCTGCCTAGCTCAGCCCACTACTGGCACTTGACGAGTGAGTGAATTTGAGAGTAACTCCCCCACCCTGCAAGGAAAAAAAGGGGTGGGAGGGAGACGACTTGTGTAGCTTCTGTTTTATACTAAACTACTCTGGATCCTATGCCTTTTGTTCAGTTGCGAACAGTTGAGCCTACTAATACATTTGGGTAAGTCCTACCACATTTTGCTGCTAGCCCATGAAAAGCCTGAGTCTATAAACACAAAACCAGCGCTGTGAAGAACACATGATGGGAGGCACAATACGCAGAAATGAAGACTCGGGCTTCAATTCCAAGTCTCTTGGAGCAGGTGGCCACAGCCAAATAAAAAGCGCGCGCGCGCACACACACACACACACACATACGTATAATTAACAATAATCCCTTCTGGATTGGCTCAGAATGAAGAAACAATCAGCATCATGTCACATCATTTCTGTCTGCATTTACATGTGTATATTTATACACACATCCCTCGACTTCCGGATTCTTTTTTTCAACTAAACCACAGAAATCTGGAGAAGCTGTGTCTGTTCCCCACTTACAGCCTGTCCGTTAGCTTCGTACAGTGGGCACTTCTGCTTGATCTTGGCCAGTTCCATGTTTACTTGTTTGCTGACCACAGCCATGGGATTTCCTCCTGGAAAAAACCCACACAATTAAATTCAATGTATCTACAAGAAGAGAATGAAAACCTCAAAGACTGTTGTACTCAAAATAAAAAAATACGAAGGGTGGGTGTTGAGGTGCTGCGAGGTAAGCCACTGCCCTGGATGCCCACATCCTGTACTAAAGTGCAGGGTTCCAGTTCCGGTTATCCCACACCTTTGAGCCATTTCCCGCCTGTGTGCATCCTGGGAGCCAGCAAGTGATGGTTCAAATATTTGGGTCCCTGCCACCCACACGACAGACCTGCTTGGAATTATGCATTCTAACTTTGGCCTTGCCAAGTCTTGGACTTTTACAGATATTTTAGTAGTGATCCAGTAGGGGAAAGATCTCTGTCCCATCGTTTCTTTCAACCAAATTAAAAAAAATACTTTGAAAATTTTTAATCGGAAAAACAAAAGAATCAAAATTTAAAAGATATGAATCATGCCTCAAAAAATAACCCTTCCCCAAAAAAGAGCTTAAAAAATACTACATAGATAAGCGAAAAGAGTTTGTCCTATGCATTAACATTTCATTATAGTTCTTCCTAAATTTTAGGTATATCATATCAGACATACATACACCAAAGGATTATAGTATACATATCGCTGTCATTTTCAAACTCAATGATATATCACAGGCATCACTGTTTATTAACAAGGAACAGCATAGTTTTTATGGATGTATGCTTCTCATCATGTAATTTATAATCATTTGATATGCTATTTCTAACATCCTATTATAAATAATGCCACATTACAAACCTCCGTGGCTGGAGGGGGGCAGCAAGCCAATGGGCACTGATTTGAGTCCCAATCACTCTGGTTCCAATTCCGCTATTAATGGCTGGGAAACCACTAATGACCCAAGGCCTTGGAGGCCCTGTGCCCATATGGAAGATCCAGAAGAAGCTCCTGGTCCCCAGCCTCAGATTAGCCCAAAGAAATAGCCACTGCAGCCATTTGGGGGGTGAACTAGTAGATGGAAGATCCCTCTGACTCTCTCCTTCTGCGTAACTCTGGCAAGTAAAATAAATAAATCTTAAAAAAGAAAAAAGTCCTCGTTTACAAAATTTGCCACTTATTTGTCTTTTAAGAATAATTTCCCTAGTACTAGAAGAAAAAAGCTAAGTAAAAGATGTATAGCGGTTAATTTTTGCTCATACTGCTATCCAATCTTTGGGAAGATCATTGGGCACTTTCTCACTAACAGCAGCACTTGCTATGGTTTGAGCAGGGTTTGTCCTCTTAACCAGTCCCATGTGAGGTATTCAAAGGGTGGAGACTTAACCTCACTGTGTGTCACAGGTAGGGCCTTTGAGGCTGGCAGGGCTACACAAGGCTACCAGGCCAGGAGCTGGCTGTGATTAAATCAGCATGGTTCTAGCAGGGGCGGATGTAACTCCTTACCTCTTACCATAGAATGGCCTGCACTGCTTCATGACCACAGAGACAGGAAGGCTACCAGATGTAAGCCTTCAACCTTGGATCTGAACTGCGAGCAAAATACTAACCTTTTTTCTTTGTAAATTAACTAATCTGTGATTTTGTGTTATTAGCTATACAAAATAGACTAATAGGGCCTGGTATGATAGCCTAGTAGCTAAAGTCCTAGCCTTCCATGCACAGAGATCCCACATGGGCGCCAATTCTAATCCCGGTGGCCCTGCTTCCCATCCAGGACCTGGGAAAGCAGTCCAGGACAGCCCAAAGCCTTGGGACCCTGCACCACGTGGGAGACCTGGAGGAAGTTCCTAACTCCTGGCTTCAGATTGGCGCAGATCGGCCACTGCAGTCACCTGGGGAGTGAATCATCGGATGGAAGATCTTCCTCTCTGTCTCTCTTTCTCTCTGTGTATCTGACTTTCCAATAATAAAATAAGATAAAACTTACAAGAAGTATTTTTGGCTTTAAAGTATAAATTTGGGGAACAGAACTGTAGTGCAGTGGGTTATTTCACCACCATGACACCTGCATCCCACATCAGCGCTATACTGTGATCCAGCTCCTTACCAATGCACCCAGGAAACAGTCCGAATACTCCGGGCGCCGACACTCATGGACAGACCCAGATGGAGGTTTTGGTCCCTGGCTCTGGTCTAGCCCACCCCTGATTGTTGTGGCCATTTGGAGAGTAAACCAACAGATGGAAGATGTCTCCCTTTCTCTGTATATTCTGCCTTTCAAATAAAAAAAAATCTTCAAAAAGCATGTAAGTTAAACAATTTTAGGAGTCTCAGACTACGTATGAGCATATAATTAGCAACTACTTACCGAGACCTGTCACTACCATGGCTCCTAGGTCAGCTACATAGTTTCCTTTGCGAAAAGTAGCAACTCTGCCGCCCACACGATCCTGTTTTTTTTTTCCAGGAAAAAAAATGGCCAAAAATCATCATTTTAATCAGGACTATCTTAATCTCAATATTGCAGCATAGCACCATACTAGGGCTCTTCTATTTTAATTTGGAAGCCAGCACTGTGGCACAGCTAGTGATGACACCATCACGATGCCAGCATCCCATAAGGGCATCACTTCAGTCCCAATTGCTCTACTTCCGATCCAGCTCCTTGCTAACAGCCTGGGAAAGCACCGGAGGATGGTTCACATGTGCAGACTCTTGCCACCCACGTGGGAGAGCTGGAAGTAGCTCCAGGCTCCAGGCTCCTGGCTTTGGCCTGGCCCATCCCTGGCTGCTGGGCCATCTAGGGAAGGGAAAAGAATACACGGAATATCTAACTGTGTCTCTCCTTCTCTCCATAACAATGACAAATAAAGAAACAGGGAGGGAAGGAGAAGAGACAGAATGAAAGCAGGGGAGTACAGGGCAGGGAAGGCAGAAGGCAGTATAAATGAAAAAATATATTAAGATAAGGGTTTTGTTTGGAGTTCACATGGAGTATAATCAACCCAAAGACATATGAAGCGTAACTTGAAGACCCTGCGGGAGAGACAGTTACGGAGCAACCACAGGAGGTACACAATGAAGTGATGGGACAGGAACCAGACAGAAAACATTAGCTCTCCACCTAGCTGCAGTATCTCTTATTGCCTACGATGAGCTATGTGTCACCCACACAGAAAATCTGTTCATAAATTCCAATACAAAAATATCAATTTTTGGTAACCACGACCTAGCTCTTAACCCTATTCCCATAGAAAAATGGTTCTCCAGTGCAGTCAGTGGCATGAAGTAAACCAAACATCTACTTCTATAAGCCCTTCATGTGTAAAGCAGCCCAGGACACCTCTAGTAACTAAAAATTTAAGTATAGGGAAACATTACTACACTATAGTGATAATTTAATAATTACAGTAAAAAAGGAGAGTACTCTGAAAATTCTAAACAAGCAACAAAAAAAGCAAAACAATTATCCCTACACAAATTTACTGATTCTGTGTAGGAATCACAACAATCCCATTATTCTCTACTGTTATTCTCAGTACACAGAGAACACACAAACATTTCCTAAATTAATGAAAAAATATTACTTCCATTTTTAAAAATGTTCATCTATTTGAAAAGCACAGTGAAAGGGACGGGCGGAGACAGGCAGATCTCCAAATGCCGCCAACAGCCAGGAAGGGCGAGGCTGAAGGCACCAGCTAGGGTCTCCAGCTGGGTCTGTGACAGGTAGCAGCCAAAGCACCACAGCCATCACCTGCTGCCTCCCAGGGACATCGGCGGGATGCAAACAAAGTAGGTGGGCCAGAATCAGTGCCAGGATACAGGATGCAGGGACTCCAGCTACTAGCTTAACCCCTGCAATGTTTCTTTACTAAGATTATACACCAAGAATATATTTTAAACTTTTACTTTCCCATATTCTATTTAAAAAGTGTATCTGAAAAATTAGCAGTTTACTGAAAGTAATTTGGATTGTACTGCATACAGCATTTTAAAAGCATTTGTTCGAGCTGGTGCCATGGCATACAAAGCCAACTCCTGCCTATAGCACCAACATTTCATATTAACACTGGTTTTTGTCCCAGTTGCTTCACTTCCAAACCAGCTCCAAGCTTATGGCCTAGGAAAGCAGCAGCGAATGGCCCAAGTCCATGGACACCTGCAACCATGTGGGAGACCTGGAGGAAGCTCCTGGCTCCTGGCTTCAGATGAGCTCAACTCCAGCTACTGCAGCCACCTGTGGAGTGAATCAGAGGATGGAAGACTTCTCTCTATCTCTGCCTTTCAAATAAAAATAAAATTCATCTTTCAAAAAGAAAAAAAGAAAAAGAAAAGCATTTGTAAAACTAGATGTTCAGTTTACTTGTGAAATACTTTATTGTTTTGAAATGGTGGGTGTATGGAGAAGCCTTTAAGCCATCAGATGATCATTAAGTTTCAAAAATTACACATGAGGTAATTTTAATAGCAGCATCAATAATGTCGTTTTCTGTTTTCTCATACTTGGAGACCCAAGCTGAGATTCTGGCTCTGGGTCTTAACCTGGCCAAGCCCCAATTGCTGCGGCTACCAGGAAAGTCAAGTGACGCCTGAGAATTTGTTCTCTCTCTCTCTCTCTCCCCTCCCAACTTCGCATTCTGTCACTCTTCCTGTCAAAGGAATGAATGATTTTTAAAAGACTATATGGGGCCCAGCATGGTGGCCTAGCGGCTAGTCCTCGCCTTGAACATGCCGGGATCTAACATGGGCGCCGGTTCTAATCCCAGCAGCTCCACTTCCCATCCAGCTCCCTGCTTGTGGCCTGGGAAAGCAGTGGAGGGCGGCCCAAAGCCTTGGAATCCTGCATCCATGTGGGAGACCTGGAGGAGGTTTCTGGCTCCTGGCTCCGGATCAGCACAGCACCAGCCGGTGTGCTCACTTGGGGAGTGAATCATCAGACAGAAGATCTTCCTCTCTGTCTCTCCTCCTCTCTGTATGTCTGACTATGCAATAAAAATAAATACATCTTTAAAAATAAAATAAAAGACTATAGGGATTATTTATGAACTCTACCCACACTGAATCTTTTACAAAACTGTCAAAACTGCTTTAGCAAACACAAATAATAGTCAAAATATCTGAGTATTGTTTCAACAAACTTGGCTAAGCTCACGTGAACAGTCCCTTAACTGGAAACACATAATTTCCTTACCATGTTTCTAATTGGATCAAGGTTAGTAAACTCAAAATACAATTCTTACCCTGGCTTCCAGAAGCGTAACGTCCATTCCAAAACTTTGTAGTTGTCGAGCTGCCGCCAAGCCAGAGACTCCAGAGCCTATAATAATTACCTTTCCTGTCTTTTTAGCTAAAAGCAAAAAACAAACAAAAACCATAACTTCTTTTGTACTGAGGATTTTAAAAGTTCACATATTTTCATGATTCCCCTTTAGGAAAATCTCTAGAGTCTTTTTTTTTCCTGATAATTATTTCTATTTTTGATGATTTTAACAAGGTTGATTAGGGTGATAAAGGTCAAGGGTTACAGAAATGGGGTGCGACCATTATCTCCACATTCTCTTGTTTCTTCCTGTATCTGGGCAAGAAGCTCCCTTCCTCAAAGGGAGAATAAAATTTGCATCTTCTTAATAAGCCATGGTGTGTTATGAAGCCAATAATTAAGAGTTATTTTCAAAACATGAAACTGTATGAAAACAAAAGAAAAAATACGTGAAACTTACACACTTTAATGCAATAAATACTTAAACAAAGTCCATTATCTGACCATTTAGTATTTTATTAATTCAGCCTTGTGTGTCAGGATCTGTGATCCAGAGTTAATTTGTTATGAAGACCTTGCTTCATTTATCTTAGAATGGTTCTCAGACACCTTTTGCGTGAAAACTGTTGTTTCTTTTAAACTTTATTTCTACAGTATGATTAAGTATCCCTTTTTGAAAAAGTATTAAAAACAAACAAAAAAGAAAAAGTATTAAAGATTAAAACTAATATATTAACTTCCAAAATATCCCTATCTCCTGGATTCCTGGAAGCCATTATCCCAATACTATTAAATGGGGCAAATTGAACCACTAGCAGCATAAGGAACCACTGATGGGAGAAAACCTAAAACCTCCTGCTTAGGTAACAGATTTATTTATTTATTTATTTATTTATGAATTTATGCTTTTAAATTCTGCTTTCTTAAAAAACTGAAAGTCGGGACCGGCAGCGTGGTCTAGTGGCTAAAGTCCTCACCTTGAACATGCCAGGATCCCATATGGGCGCCAGTTCTAATCCCGGCAGCCCTGCTTCCCATCCAGTTCCTGCTTGTGGCCTGGGAAAGCAGTCCAGGATGGCCCAAAGCTTTGGGACCCTGCACCCGTGTGGGAGACCCGGAAGAAGTTCCTGGATCCTGGCTTTAGATCGGCATAGCATCAGCCATCGCGCTCATTTGGGGAGTGAATCATTAGACGGAAGATCTTCCTTTCTGTCTCTCCTCTTCCCTGTATATCTGACTTTGCAATAAATAAATAAATCTTAAAAAAAAAACCTGAAAGTTTAGTATGAAATTAACGATCTATCAAATCAAAAATTAATGGAGGACCCAGAACAACAGCCCTGTGTTAAATCCTCACCTTGTATCTGCCAGTATCCCATAAGGGCATGTTTTGTGTCCCAGCTGCTCCACTTCCCATCCAGCCCCCTGCTTGTGGCGTGGGAAAGCAGCTGAGGATGCCTTGAGACCCTGCACCCGCATGAGAGACTCTAAAGAAGTCCTGGCTCCTGATTAGCTCAACCCAGCCATTGTGGCCACTGGGGAGTGAGACAGCAGACAAAATATATTTGTCTCTCTGTAAAAATCTTTCTGGGACCAGTATGGTAGCCTGGCGGCTAAAGTCCTTGCCTTATACAAGCTGGGATCCCATATGGGTAGCTCATGTCCCAGCAGTCCCACTGTTCATACAGCTCCCTGCTTGTGGCCTGGGAAAGCAGCAGAGGGTAGCCCAAATCCTTGGGACCTGCACCGCATGGGAGACCCAGAAGACCTGGCTCCTGGCTATGGACTGGCTCAGCTCCTGCCGTTGTGGCCGCTTAGGGAGTGAATCAACGTACAGAACATCTTCCTCTCTGTCTTTCCTCCTCTCTGTATATCCAACTTTAAATCTTTAAAAATAAATAAAATCTGCCTTTCCAATAAAAGTAGATAAATCTTTTTTAAAAAATTATACACTTAAAAAAATTAATGGAAATCCATGTATATTAAAGATTTTGTTTCAAATTTGACATAGAGCAGGTTCAGGAAGCCTTTTTCTGCCAAGGATCATTTAGCTATTTTATAACATTACTTACAGGCAACAAAAAATGATTAATTTAAAGAAACCAGCCTGCTAGGGGTTGCTATTGTAGCACAGAATGTAGAATTGCCACTTGTGCTGCCAGCATCCACTGCTGGTTCAGTAGCCTGCCAATGGCCTTGGAAATACAGCAGAAGGTGGCCCACGTACAGTGGCCTCCTGCTGTCCACCTGGAAGAAGCTCCTGGCTTCCACCTGGCTAGCTCTGATACCAAGGTCTTCTAAACAGTGAACCAGCAAATGGAAGATTTTTGTTTTACCTCTTTGTAACTTTTTCCAATAAACACATTAATCTTTTAATTAGCCTGTACACAATTATTGAATCACAAGTCCTGTCTGCAGCTGCCTTACAGATTCAGACCAAATGACTTACACTCAGGCCAGTCATTCCCATCTGACTTAAAAAGAAAAAAACCTGAATATATTTTCAATAACTACAAGTTTAAAAATAAAAATGAAATGAAATACAGTACTAGAATCTTGACCTAAAACCATGGAATGCACTGACAAGGTACTTACTTGGTAAGGGTTTTATCCTCTTATAGATGCCGAAGTTGATAAGGCCATGACGCTCTAAGTAACTGTGAACTCGATGGACAAGCACAGTATCGCCTATGAAATAAGTGAATTTGAAAATATATTCATATTCTCAGCAATTTACAGAGCAAATTTTTAACTTTATATTTCTTCATCATGAAGTTATTCTACACATTTTCCCCAGAAGTTAGCTTCAGGTTTCATAATTCCTTTAGAACAGTGACTTCCAGAACTGGAAAGGAGTCCAAAAATTCACATCAGAGATAATTTAGAATTTTAAGAATGACATTCATTATGGATAAATGGAGGGCAAAATCAAATCTTTATAAAGATAATGCACATTCAATTTGGCAAAGCTTTGAAAAGCTTTCTAAGTGGCAAGTAGTAAATCAGAAAAAGTCAGACAACCAGCCAATCAAGTGTCAATCAAATGCCAACAAAGTCAGACAACTGGACTAGAAAAACTGAGTGCTCTCTTAAACTCATTTGTCATCAAAACTTAAAAAGACCAGAGAAACGAAACCATGCTAAACTACACACACACACACACACACACAGAGATTTTCTTGCAAGGCTCCTTTTTGCACAGCAAAACAAAATTTTAAAAATTTAACTACTAAAAAACCATTAGGGTCCTGGAAGGAAACATCAATTTTCACAGCCCAGACAAAACCAGTCCTCATGAGTACACTACTTACTATTATAAGGCGCTTCCAACTGCTGGAGAGTAGCCTCAAATGTCAGCTGGATCTTTGGATTATCCAACCACAACTGCAGCTATATTTAAATGACATAAATTGAATTACATGCAAATATATATGTCATTTTACTACCTTTAAATTTGTTATAACTTAAAGATCTCTAATACTGGCTTTTCTTTCACTGAAACAATGAAGACATTATTGCAAACAATCTCATGTATACAGTTTTTAAAAAATCTACTAACTTTCCAACGTCACACAGCTCCTACAAAAGAGCTAGAATTTAAAGTTGGATTACATGACTCCCAAGATACTGAGAAGGCAAAATCCACAAAATCTAATAATGATCAATTAGATAAGCAGAGGTATATGTCAAAGATTTTAAGGACAACTTCTCAGGTTTTGGCAAGTACAAGTAAAGGAACTGATGTGCCACTCACTGAATGAAGAAATTAAATAATGCAGGTAGAACCAAGACAACAAAAGGAGATCTAACAGGCAGCTATACAGAGGTTCTGAGATGCAGAGGAGAGGCAGGGTCTAAAGTCTTCTGCTTTGACATGATAAGAAAGTCCCTGAGGGGACATGCAACAGAGCACAAGACTGAAGGTGGTCCCAACAGTTTATACAACAGTCACGAGTTAATAAACCTACACAGCAATCAGCAGACAAGAGAAGACAGGAGAAAAAACGAGGAAAAATATTATAGTGCAATCAATGGCTCTAGCATGAATTCTCTTCAAAGTGAAAATGTATTTACAAAACACAAAATAAACTAAATGCCACCCATATGTAATTCTTAGCTAAGCCTATTCATTCCATGAAAAAACTTTTTATCAAGAGTTAACGTGGCCGCATGTAAACCCATCAAACTGCTACAACAAAATGATCTGATCCATAGGGATTCCCCATGTTTCTCTGCGGCCGCTGTAAAGGAATAAATGTAATTCCTCATGTACACGCAGGCCCAAGCTGCTCAACCTTCCACACTCGTCTTACTCCTTTCATCATATGAAATAAGGCTCGAGTCACAAACTTAGTAGTAGTTTTAAAATCTACAGAAAAGAAAAATATAGTTTAAGATTAGAGAATTAAAACAATCCTGCAGAAAAAAAGTGACTTTTATTCTGTTTAACAGCCAAAGACTGCAAGTTTAATCTAGGTCACCAATTCAACAAATCTACACTTCTGGTTAAACAAGTAAGAAAAAACAGCAATTACTGTAAATCCATCATCCAAATCTAAGTAAAAAAGTGAAAACTGACTTCAGGTAAAACCAAAACATTTATTTTTATTAGAAAGGCAGAGTTTTACAGAGAGACAGAAAAGATATTTTGTCTTCTGGTTCATTCTTTGTCTTTAAAAAAAAAAAACCCACCCAAATAAACCAGCCTGCTACAAGGAGAAAAAGTTAATTATAAGACAGCTCAGTCTCAGAAATATACTTAGATTTTTCCATTTACTTTTTACAGAAGGCATTTCTTAACTCAATATTTAAGATACCGGCAACCCACATCAAAGCCTTGAATTTCCAACCGCCGTTCCTCACTCTGACTTCCTACCAGTGCAGATCCTAGGAGCAGCCAGGATGACTCCAGTAAGGGGTCACCCCAATTAACTCATCCACATAAGGGACCTGGATTTCAATCCTGGCTCCTATCTCCGGCATTTGGAGAGTTAATTCAGCAGTTAGAAAATATCTCAATTTGCCTATTTGTGCAAAACAAACAAACAAAAAATTTTTTTTTTCAATTAAAACGAAAAGAAGATCTCACTGGGATTTGGATGACTAGAAACATCCTCTACCAGACCAGTGTCAGCTCACCTGTCAGGTTACCTCTGTCCCCCATGAGAACCACCATGCTAGCGCACCAGTCCCTTTTAAACTCTATCTAAGATAACAATCAACAAAGGGACCAGAGATCGTGGTGCAGCATGTTAAGCTGCCACCTGCGATACCAGTATCCCATATGTGCATCCATGTGTGTCCTAGTTGCTTCAACCAGCTTTTCTACTCATGGTACCAGGAAAGCAGCAGGAGATGGCCCAAGGGCTTGGGTCCCTGACTCTAACTGGAGACCAGGATTCAGACCCTGGTTCCTGAACCGGCTGGTCCAGACCTGGTTTGTGTAGTTATTAGGGTGTGAACCAGAGGAGAGAAGATCTTTCTGTGTCTCTGTAACTCTGTCCTTCCAATAAACAAACAAATCACCAATAACAATAATAAACAGAAAATAGCCAACAGAAATGCAGTCAAGGATGCACAAGGCTTTTCAGTTTAATCATGGTAAGGTAGAAACAGACACTTAAATTTCCAACAGTTGCTGACTCCAGCCACCAAGTGCATGTGGTGAGCTGTCCCCAGGCCTGCATGGGTCTAGGGGCTGCTCCCTTCAGGGTGAGTACAGCGAGGGGGGAAATCTTGGGGGCTGAGCGGGGCTCGAGGCCCACCCGCCACCCTCACTGAGCAGTGGATGGGATTGGGGAGGGGTGAGACCTTGGGCCTGGGGGCTGGAACTTCCTGCAGCTTGCTGGGTGCTGGGGGGTTTAAGGCCAGGGCGTCTTCATGCCCGGATCCCTGACTCCAGCCACTGTGTGCACCTGGTGAGCTGTCCCCAGGCGGCCGGTGCGCCATTTGGCACCGGGCTCCGCCTGCTGGCTGCCCAGCCAGCGAGCTCTGGGGTTTTGGTTCTTTGAATCACTGTGCTTCTGGGATGTGAATCAATCCTAAAGATACCCAATGACAGTAACTTTTCCTTTGAAGAACTTGTAGTCACTGAACAATGCTGACCACCAAATCCCAGTCCATGCAAAAGCTAAGGCTCGGGGCTTGTCTAGCAGGATCATACCCTATTACCTGACATCATGATGGATCAGGAGACAGGTCACATTAGGCAGGGCCATGACATTAACCAGCACTTGAGAGAACCATATCTAGGGGCAGATTTTGTGGGGGATATGTGGGCCAAACCCTGTGGAAATTCTAGACCCACTAGTTAGCTCAAGAGATAGGGTGGTGATGGACTAAGCTACTTGTGACCAAGGAGCCTGCCCTCACTCACAGGTAAAGGAACCCACAACAGTCTGGACTGGTCAAGGCAGCAGCACCTGAATGTGCATTCTAAATAGGGTGTGGGGTGGGCCGGGATGCAACATTCACCAGCTCATACAAAGCCAAATGGAAGGCCAGACTTCGCCGGAATCTGGCCTAAAACCCAATGGCATGTATGAGAACTGGGTCTGGGAGTGGATCAAGTGGAGGAACTTGGGAAACGCCCCTGGCGAGTCACAGCTGCCACTGGTGAACCTGGGGGTCGGACAAGCTGGGCAAAGTAGCTCCAACGGCTGGCCAATGTGTGAATAGGTAATGGAATGGGGTGGATCGGGCAGGACTGAGCAAACCTTAGTCCACAAGCAAAACTAGAAAGCAGGATGGAGCACAGGTCATGCTGAGCTAGGCTCTTACACCTACTGGTGTGCATGAACCAGGGACACTAGGCCACAGCATCCATAAGGCAAAGGCCAGGACAGGTGAGGAACTTTGCAAAACTGAGTCAGAGAAACCACTGGCATGCACACGATCTTTGTCTGGGAACAGGCCCGGCTGGGGAGCTGTGTTCTGATCAGGAAATGGTTGTAGTCTCCCTTGGCACAAGTGTGGACTGTGACTGGACGCACCAAGCCAGGCCAGACTCCAATACCATCTGGTGTTCTGGAGGACCAGGGTAGTCTGTGGGATGGACTAGGCTACTAGGTCTCTGCCCCTACTGAGCCATGTGTGAGCTGTGTTTGGATACGGACGAGCCGTGGCTGGGCTGAAACATCCAACAGTAAGAACCAGTTTGGGTTGAAGGCCAATCAGGAAAAACCACTGTTCCTGCTAGGACAGGAGGTGAACTGAGTAGGGCTGGCTCATGGACACCCTGGTATGCGCAAATCTGACATTGGGAGGGGTTCTGATGGAGGAACCTAAGCAACTCCTCTGGCAGGACACAGACCCTGCAGGTAAGCGCAAGAAGCATGGAAGGAAACAGCCCAGAACAGGCTCTGGAAAGTTTCCCACTGGCACACATTTGGCCTGGGTCAGGGGCAGACCAGGCTGAATCAGTTCACGTCATCCCCTGCAAATCTGAGCACGGCAACAGAGTGTAGGTCAAGCCAGTTTCGGTCACAACAAAAACTAGTACACAATACGGAATGCCAGGGTGAGGTTGCCTGTACCTGTACCAGATGTGACCGCACCCAACCAGCACACGTGAGAACTAGGAAGTGGGGAGGGGAGGGTTCCTTTGCTGGACAGCTACTCCCACTGAAGAGCGTAAGCTGGGATGGGGACAGACCAGACTAAGCAGGGCTACAACACCTGTGCACCTCATGTGGACTGGATCAGGGAAAAGCCAGGCTGGGCTGATTATGCCTACTGGTGCAAACAAAAATTAGAGTGGTTGAGGACTGTTTGGGCTTAGCCGCAGCATCAGCTGGCACTGGGGGCCAATTCTGACAAGTCAAACCACAGAGCCACCTGGAGAGTGCTTAATTCGGGAATGTGAGAAGCCTGGGAGGGAAACAGTGGGCTCCTCCCTCTTGGGTTACCACTCCCATGGGAGGGCGAAAACTAGGTCAGGGGCTAGGGTGGCAACACAGAGAGGCACCCAACATCATCCATGAGGGCTGCATAGTTGAGCTGGTTAGATGGAACTAAGCTTTACTACCCATTGACATGTACAATAGCCGAATGGGATGTGGGACAGACTGGACTAGTCTGCTACACATACTGGCAAACCAGGGTAGGGGATGGGCCTGGTGGGGGTTATTGGGGGTCACTCTGACTAGGCTGCAGCTCCCACTGGTTTATGTGAGGGCCGAGTATGTGCTGGGCAGAGCCAGGCTGGACTGCAACACCCACTGGTTTTAGTGGAAGACAGCGCTGGAAACAGAATCGAGCCAGCAATTGCAACCACCAGCTGATCGGGGCGATGGACTTTGCCGGACCCTGAGCTTGCTAGATAGAACATACAACAATCTGGTCTGGGAACACCTCCCCAATCGATCCCACGCTGGGATCTATGGGCGCCGGTTCTAACCCCAGCAGCTCCACTTCCCATCCAGCTCCCTTCCTGTGGCCTGGGAAAGCAGTCAAGGACGGCCCAATACTTTGGGATCCTGCACCCGCGTGGGAGACCTGGAAGAAGTTCCTGGCTCCTGGCTCCAGATTGGCACAGCACTGGCCGTTGCGCTCACTTGGGGAGCGAATCATTGGACGGAAGATCTTCCTCTCTGTTTTTCCTCCTCTCTGTATATCTGAGCTTGTAATAAAAATAAATCTTAAAAAAAAAAAAAAAAAAAAAAAGAAAGGAAAGGACAGAGGACAGAGCAAATCACTCAACTACCCCAGCCATATGCTGGCAGCGAAAAACTGGGCAAACGGAGACTCTAAGATGGACTATGTCAATCAGTGGATTCTTCAACAACCTCATCATGCTTGGAGTGGCGAGACTGGCAACGATTCATAACTAGTGAGCTATCCAAATCACTTGAGCAAGAATCTCAGAGCATGCCACACATCCGGGACCTGGGGTGGGTGGGAGACTGGTTGGGGCGTCTTCCTCAGCATCTCCCTTTACCTCAGACACATGAAGGAAACAATATGGAAATAACAGTCTTACCCACTTTCCTGTAGCCCTTGAACCTTTTTACCCTAACTAACTATGTAAAGATTGTCAAAAATATAATACAAAAATGGAAAACAAAACAAAAAATGTCCAATAGTTAAATTATTAAGACACAACTACGAGAAAAAACAATACACACACACTTTCAAACTACCATTCAGCCTGGGAAAGAGGCAGAACTAAGTGAACAAAACAGTAAGACATCAGGAGGGAAAGACAAAATGATGCCAAAAGTAAACATTTACAATATTCCTAGTGTGTACTTAAGAAGTTATGAAGTATGAAAAGGATTCAAAAGAATAAAGCAAGCTTTCAATTTTGTAAAAACACATAAGTTTTTTTAACACCTGAAGGAAAAACAACTGATTTTCAGCAATGTTATCCCTTGATAACAATATTACAGTACAGATAATGTAAGAATTCTTTCCTTCCAAAACATTTTTTCCAATTTCCAATGCGTAAAGGCTGACTTGGAAACTCACTGTGCGGTTTCTGACGAACAGGAAGACCTTCTGGGTCTGCTGTGGCCCACTGATGACATCTGGGAAGCAGGCTGCTTCTTGAGAAGTCATGCGGTCATGAGGGAGTCTGCTCTGGAAGGCGGCCCCCTCCACACCTGGCAAAGAGAACAGAGGACTTCTAGGAAAAGTGCAAGTGAACACAACGCTTAAAAAGCTTGTCATGTTCAGACTGATCGATCTCACTTTTTTTATTTGAAAGGCAGAGATAACAGAGAGGACAGACAGAGATCTTCTACTTCTAAACCACCAATAGTTCCAGCTAAATCAACTCAAAGCCAGGAGCCAGAAGCAACCTCCAAGCCTTCTATGTGCATGCAGGGGCCCAAGGACTTCAGCCATCCTCCAGCTGCTTTCCCACACCGTAAGCAGGGAACTGGATCAGAAATGGAGCAGCAAAACTCAAACTGTGCCCATATGGGATTCTGACACTAAAGGTGGAAGCTTACCCTACCAGGCCATGCTGCCAGCCCCTAACTCATAAAACAAAAAACCAAAACTTAACCTGCCTCAAAAGCCAAATATTCCTGGGGGGTCAGTGCTGTGGTACAGTGGGTTAAAGCACTGACTGCAACATTGAAGTCCCATTTGGGTGCTGGTTCAAGTCCCCACTGCCCAGCGTCTAAACCAGCTCCCTGTTAACGTGCCTGGGAAAGCAGTGACCGATGACCCAAGTGTGTGGGCTCCAAATGGGACATTCAGACAAAGCTCCTGGCTCCAGACTGGCCCAGCCCCAGCTGATACGGCCATTTGGGGAGCAAGCCAGTGGATGGAAGATGTGTGTGTGTGTGTGTGTGTGTGTGTGTACACATCTGTGTAGCTCTGCTTTTCAAATACTTATCTCTCTCATATACACACACACACACACACACACACACACACACACCAACAATGGCTAGAGCTGAGTTGGTCCAAAGCTAGGAGCCAAAAGGTACTTCCAGGTCTCCCACATGGGCACAGGACAGGGGCCCAAGGACTTGGACTTGAGCCATCCTCCCCTGCTTTCCCAAGCCATAGACAGAGAGCTGGATAAGAGGAGTGGCCGGGACTCAAGCCAGAGTCACAACAGGATGCTGCCACTGCAGGCAGCATTTAGTTTTAATATTTCATGGTGCTGGTCCCACTGATAGATTATTGACACGGAATAACAAACTGAAAAACAAAGTGAGAGGCTCTGGAGTAAGCTGTCCCAGGACCTGAAATCAGAAGTGCAAGGTTCCAGCCTGGGAACATTCCTTAGAAACCAGTTACTCTTTTGAGATTAACATTGTAAAGTTTACAGTATATTTGTATAAAATGTAACATGGCATTTAGAATATTCTGACTTTATAATGATGGCTAACACTCCAATTAAAATCAGCATCATTGGAGCTGATGATGTAGAAAAGCAAGTTAAGCCTCCACCTGCAACATGAGCATCCCTTGTCAGAGCACATGTTCAAACCCAGCTGCTACATTTCTGACCCAGCCTCTCACCAATGCACCTGACAAAGTAGGAGAATATGACCAAGGACTGGGACTCCTGTCGCCCACTCAACCACTGTGGCCACTTGAGACGCGAACCAATTGCTAAAAGATCCATCCTTGTCTGTCTCTCTGTGTCACGCTGTTTTTCAAACCAGTTAATCTTTAGGTAAAAACTACCATCGGTGAGAGTAGATAGTAATACTCAAACTAAAGAACCAAAAACGTATGCTTACATGAAACTAGAGATAAACACTAAACAGTAAAAGCAGCCAGAGCGAAAAACTCAATTCCACTGCTTCTTTGGGATTAGAAGGAACAGAACAACAGTGGAGGTTCGTGACCCTGTGAACAATGCTGCAGTTAACAGTTCTCACTAATTGGTGCTGGCGTGCAGCAAGAGGAATGAGCAGACACCAATGCTAGACAGAGCAATGCAAGGAATTTGTCTTTTCCAACATACACAGAAATGCTTTACAGCTTTACAGAATACAAGTAAAATGCTACGACACCTACTGCATATAAGTGTATATGTATACACACAGCATAAGTGAATTATACTATTCTGAAATTCTTTGTATAAAAGTGGTAAGTGGCAGCTAAAGATGATGTTCTAAGATATACTTCCAAGGGCAGGTTTTTGGTAGCTGCTAAGACACCACCTTGACACGACCATAACCCATAGTAAAGTATCTAGGATTGAGTTCCAGCTCAACTATTTTTTTTTTTAACATTTATTTTTATTGGAAAGGCAAAGAGAGAAGGGAGAAAAAGAGCTGCCATCCACTGGTACCATCCCCAAACAGCTGCAAAACTAGTGTTAGGCCAGTCCAAACCTAGGACCTTCTTCTGAGTCTCTCATGTAGGTATAAGGCCTAAGAACATAGGCCATCTTCTGCTGCTTTCCCAGTCCATTAGCAGGGAGCCATCTCAGAAGTGGAGCAGCTGGGACTTGAACAGGTGTGCCCCTATGGAATGTTAGCAACACAGGCAGAGACTTGACACACTATGTGATGGCGCCAGACCCCTCTTGATTCTAGATTCCTGCTAAATGCACCTCTTGAAAGACAGCAGATGATGGCTCTGATGGTTGGGTCCCTAAAAGCCACTCTGGTGACCCAGACTGAGTTTTGACCTTCAAGTTTGGCTTGCTCCTGTCCCAGCTGTTCCAGGATGCCAGTAGCTGAAATTAAAGATGTCTTTCTCTGCCTTTCAAGTAAATATAAACAAAAATTTGAAAAGGAAATACATTTGTACATATTGTGCTTGTATTTGCAAGATCACTGTATAAAGAGTTACTTAACTACCACTTTGTAAAAATCAAGAAGGCACAATTTAAAAAATTTAAAATTCAGTAATTACATGTTCCTAAAAAGTACCAGACACCCATTTACTTAGTCATTTTAAAGCACACAAAACAAGAATTAGAAACACTGAATGTGGAAGTAAAAGTTAACAAAAAGTCATTAGTAAGAAGAGGAGAATGAGAACAGAGCAGCTAACATTTAACCTGGAAAATGCTACCTGAGCTCTAGCCCAATCTGCATTCACAGACACTTAAATGGCAAACACTACCCGGGGAAAAATCAATCACTGAAGAGCACGCAAAAATGCAAAATTCTCTCATTGCTCAACTAACACTGTTCTCACAAAGAGGAAAGGTTATCCCTTCACTGTAAATAATGGCACATAAACACTGTGTTCCACATCCCCAAACAAAAGGAAAAATCTTTATATTAACTAATCCCAACCTTATTTCTTAGGGAAAACATTATTTCTAAAAACCATGTTTTTGCAAATGGAGCATGGAATTAAGGTGAGAAAAGAAATGTTGCAGTCAGGGGCTCAGCGGAACAAAATGCTCCAAAACTATGTATCTATGAGGCCTCCGGTTATCTACTCTCAAAGCAAAATGAAACAAAAAAATAAAAATTGAAACCAATATTATTTCACAAATCAAGAGCATTACCTACACGTTAATTCTGAATATTTGAAGTGAATCTCCTAACAGGCTGCTTTTACTGTATGTCCTGAGTGTATACTATCAGCAAGAAATCAACTCCAACCCCACGTCTTATCCAAAAGGTTTCCTTCTGAACTAAGTTATCTCTACGTTCTGAGATAAGCAGTCACTAAGAATGAACTATGCTACAAGAAACTTTCAAAAAAATTATTTTTATTGGAAAGGCAGATGTAAACAGAAGAGAAACAGAGAAAGACCTTTATGCGCTGGCTCACTCCCCAGCAGACACAATACCCAGTGCTGAACTGACCCAAAGTCAGGAGCCAGGGGCTTCTTCTGGGCTCCCACGCATGTGCAGGGGACTTTGGGCCGTCCTCGACTGCTTTCCCAGGCCACAAGCAGGGAGCTGGATGGGAAGTAGAGCAGCCGGGACACTGGTGCCCATATGGGATCCCGGTGCTAGCAAGGTGAGGATATAGTCACTGGGCTATCGCACCAGACCCAAAAACCATTTTCAACTACAGGCTATAAAAACTGTGCCGGGGGAAAAAAAAAATTACATTACATTTGGATTCTCACTGCAAATGTTCTTGTCAAAACACACTGACTGGAGCTGATGTTTGGCTTCCCAGGTAAGGTTTTTAGGAAGCCTGTTGCAGCTGCCAGCTGTGGCCAATTCTAGCTTCCTGCCAAGTGAATCTCAGGAGTTGGCAGGGACAGAACTGGGTTTCCTGCCACCTACATAAAGAGATCTAGTGGTTAATTCTGCCAGGATCCTATTTGGGCGCCCAGTTTGTATCCTGGCTGCTCCACTTCCCTTCCAGCTCCCTGTCTATAGCCTGGGAAAGCAGCAGAGGACGGCCCAAAGCCTTGGGACTCTGCATCCACATGGGAGACCCAGAAGAAGCTCTTGGCTTCGGATCACCTCTGGCCATTGCAACCACTTGTGGAGTGAACCAGTGGACAGAAGATCTTTCTGTATCTCCTTCTCTCTGTAAATTTATCATTTCCAATAAAAATAATAAATCTTTAATAATAAAATTAAATTTAAAACTCCAGTATTTAGAAATTTTCAAGGACTGGGCCTGGCAGTAGCCTAGCAGCTAAGGTTCTCGCCTTGAACGCACCGGGATCCCATATGGGTGCCAGTTCTAATCCCGGCAGCTCAACTTCCCATCCAGCTCCCTGCTTGTGGCCTGGGGAAAGCAGTCGAGGACAGCCCAAAGCTTTGGGACCCTGCACCCATGTGGGAGACCTGGAGGAAGTTCCTGGATCCTGGCTTTGGATCGGCATAGCACCGGCCGTTGCGCTCACTTGGAGTGTGAATCATCGGCCATAAGATCTTCCTCTCTGTCTCTCCTCCTCTCTGTATGTCTGTGTATCTGACTTTCCAATAAATAAATAAATCTTAAAAAAAATAAAAAAGAGGGTGGGTCTCAGGACGGGGCGTCTCATGCCTGGATCCCGGACGGCCGCCATGGGCACATGGTGAGCCGTTCTCCCCGGGCCTGCTGGGTTTCGGGGGCCGCTTCCTTCGGGGTGAGTAGACCGAGGGGGGGAGGCCTCCGGGACTGGGCAGGTCCGGGGCCCACCCGCCGCCTTCATGGGGCGGTGAATGGGATTTGGGAGGGGCGCGACCTTGGGCCTGGGTTATTTAAACCTCCAGCAGCC